CCTTGCTGGACATGTCGTCTTTCAACACGCCGACGGCTAATCTCGGTGCCGTCGCCGGACAACGACAAGACGCCCCCACGGTAATCGTCGTACACTTGACGTGTCTCCACGTCATCTCCCACTTGGCTCCAGCCAATGTTGGGATCGAACGAGAACACGCTCAACACGCTAACTCCAATTAGCTTCGCCGGCTGCTCACACGCTTGCGTCACGCCCTGCGAGCACAACCACGTCTTTGCCTTCGTCGCGGACACCCTGGAGTACACCCCAGGGTATCCCGCGGATGCGCATCCGACCCCCCACGACACGACGCCAACCTGCCGTAAGTCGGACGCGCGCACGAGCGGCCCGCCGCTGTCGCCTTGGCACGAGTCTTTCCCCATCTCACCCGCGCACAACATCGACTCGGGAACAATATCTGATCCGTAGTTTGTCTGACAGTCCGAGGTCGACACCGCGGGGACGGTGACCTCCAGAAGGACACTCGACGGGTCCCCACCGGATTCGGTTGTCCCCCAGCCCATCGCGATCAAATTTTCGCCAGCGCTCGCGCCCTCGCCGACGTCGGTCGTGTCGAAGTCAAGAACGACGGGATCATACCTCGAGTTACTCTTCAACGTCACGACCGCGAAGTCCCAATTCGTGGTATCAGCATCGTAGTCGGGATGGTTCACGGCGTAATCGATCTCGAGGACATCTGTGATCGAGGGATCGTACACAGAAGAGTCGTGCCAGTTTATGTAGGCAACGGTCGCCCAATTATCGGTGAACATGCAGTGCGCGGCGGTCAGCACCTTGTTCGGGGCGACCAACGACCCGCCGCACCCGTTAAACCCAACCATCCACTCGTACGTGTGCGGGTTAACCTCGGTGCCGCCGACGATCCGCGTGCTCATCGTCGGGGTCGATTTAACAGCCGTGGCGTCGGTCTCGCCGTCCACGACCTGCGTGATGTTCGCTTCTCTGAGATACTCGATCGCCACGATCGAGCCGTCGTCGGATAAAGACGTGGTGAAGAAAGTCGACGCGTTCGCGGACGCGGGAACCATATCCGCGATCTCTTCGCGGCCGACAGTTCTCCACTCCGACTTCGAATCGCAACTGGAGTCGCAGAACGTGTCCTCGCCGTAAATGTCGCCTCCCTGAGGACTCGTCGAGCCAAAGGGACACGGCACGCACGCGTGATCGAGGACGTAATGATCCGCGGCACACGAGCACGAAGTGTTGCCCAGATGCGGATCGTCCCCCGGGGCCCTCGTTGACGTCTCGGGACACGGCACGCACGCGTGATCGAGGACGTAATGATCCGCGGCACACGAGCACGAAGTGTCGCCCTGATGCGGATCGTCTCCTGGGGGCCTCGATGACGTCCCGTTACACGGTACGCACGCGTGATCGAGAACGTGATGATCCGCGGGACATCCGCACGAAGTGTTAGGTCCGCTCCAGTCGTCCCCGGGAGGGTTCACCGCGCCGACCGGGCACGCCGCGCACGCGTTGTCCTGGACGTGGAAATCTTCTGGACACGGCGGGGGCGGCCACGTCCTGGACGAGTTGTATCCGCAGGAGCGAACGAACGCCGTGGGGTAGTTGCCGGTCCCGACCGAGAGAAGCCCGTGCCTGCGTTCCGGAGCTGGAAACAGATTCCTCTCGCCTTGCGCGTTCACTAAGAATCCGTCCCGGTACTGATCCCCGAGCGCGTAAAACGCCGCGACGCACCCCGGGTCCGTGTTATCGAACTGCACGTTTCCGTACATCCGCCCTCCGCTGGTCGCGGCCTGGCCGCTGAAACGGCTGCCGTCCATCGCGAGCTTAGCGCTGACGTTCTTGTCGTAAGGGTCGTTGTCTGGATCTTCGTCGCATCGAAACGCCGCCCAGTCCGCCGCGGACGCGATTCCGGTCCCGGCGGTCGGCGAGCTCACCCCCCAATCAGCGAACGTGTCGTACCCGTCGATCGTCTTATTCGTCGCGCCGCTCTCGCACGAAGGGTGTATCCACGGCCCGCCTTCGACGTCCGACGTCTTATCCAGCGCGAACGCCTTGAACGCGATCGCGCGACCAACCCCTTTCACGACGAGAGGCTCGGACACGTTCATCGCCGCGCACGTCGTCGTCACCACGCACGGCCGCGACGACGCCAAGTCGTGTTGGATCCCAAACTGGTCAAACTCGTGCATGCCGTCGCACGTCGCGTCGTTTCCGAACGATACGAACCGCGCGCCTGGGATTTTCGCCGCGACGCGTTCGCACGTCGCCGCCGTGGACGCGTCCGGGTGGCACAACGCGACGCCGCCGTCGACGCCGAGCAGCTCGGTCGCGGCGACGACGGCGTGCTCGGGCAGCCCGGTGTACCACGCCGCATCGAGCGCGTTCAGCGCGGTCGCGTTCGTCTCCACGCACACGCCCGCGCCGATGAACGAAGGGCCTTCGCGGAAGAACACCTGAAACGTCCAGTCCCCGGGCGTCAACTTCGAGTCCGGCGCGGTGCCCCAGTGAAAGTTGATGATTCCGCCGTTGTAGCACCCGCCGAAACACTTCTTGGATCCAGACGCGTCCGGATACCTCGGGTGTTGCGAGATCCCGACGGTGTCGCCGCCGGGCGCCACGCAACCGGCCTTCGTGCACGTGTTGAGCGTGTTCGCGTCCGCGATTTCGTTCCCGTTCGCGTCGTACAACCTCCCCATCGCGATGATATGCTGACTGCTCCCCGTCCCGCACCCGCCGGTCGCGTTCCAGTCCATCCCGGCGCAGAACGCCTCCACGACGAATCGAACGTGGTCGCCGCCGTCGCCGGTTTGCAGCGCCGCGCTCGCGTTCGCGAACGCGCCGCCGCGCGGGATCCTTCGAATCACGAACTCGTCCCCCGGCTGCGGCCGGAACGAGTACGCCCAATTCCGCGCGTACGTCGTGTGATTCGTCATCGCGTCCTCGGCCTCGCCCACGTCGACCGCGAACGGGTTCGTCGCCCCGGGAAAGTCCGCCGTGGGGTCCGTCTGCGACAGGAGCAGCGTCCACCCGCCGCCGTCGAAGCGTTGGTCGCATCCGACCTTCACGAGGGGTCTCGCGCCCCACCACGTCCCTCTCGGGTCGATCGTCGCGGTCGCCGCGTCGTCGTACCCGCGATCGCGGTACGTCTTGCACGAGTACGCCCCCGGCGTCGCGGGCGGCGGCGGCGGAGGTTCGTACGGCGGCCTTCCGCCGAAGCCCCAGCGCGCGAGCTCGAGCTCGGACGCCTCGTCGCACTCGCCGGGCACGAGCGGAGGCTTCGGCTCCGCCCACGGCGCGTCGTCGTCCCATCGCGCCGTGCTCAGGTCCGCGGCGCGCGCCGGCGTCGAAGACGCGGCGAGGAAGAGGACGAGCGCGAGGAGACGCGCGCGCGTTCGCCGCGTCGTCGTCGCGGACGCCATCGCGAGCTTGAAAAAAAGAAGCGCCCTTCGCGACAAAGCGCCCCGGCGGCGCGGGTTCTCTCGAGCCGCCCGCGACGCGCGGCGCGGCAGAGAGGCGCTTCGCCGCGAAGAACGCGAGACGCGCCGCGCGGGTCTCGTCGGCCGCGCGGAGCGACGAGACCTCGGGACGACCGCGCGACGATCGAGTGCGTCGCGTGCTTAGCAAGGGAGAGAGGCAAACGGGCCGCGGCTCCTCTGAAGCACTCCTTGAAGCGACCACGAAACGACGGACCGGTCAACGCAGGTCTACGTGGCACGTTCGTGGGCTCGATTTTACCTTTCAAAATTTCGCCCTGACCGTGACTCTCGTTGAATTTTATTTTTGCACGCGCACGTGCCGATTTCGTTTCGCACGCGTCGACGCTCTCTCTCGTCGTCTCCCTCTCCCTCGTCTTCCCTCCTCGACCGCCTCTCGTCCATCACCTCAGCGGAACTTGATCGACACGAGCGGGACGTCGATGTCCTCGCCCTCCTCGTCCTCGCACGCGACGACGATGTCGAAGTGCGACCGCTTCTCCGGCACCTCCAGCTTCGCCACCGTCCGCACGAGGTCGCTCACCTTTTGATCCATGCGCTCTCTGTGCTTGGGGAAGATGTTGTTGTAAATCAGCGACTGCCCGCACGACACGGAGTACGCCGTGAGCTCCTTCGCGGCGAACCAGTCCAGAAGCTCCTTCACCGTGAAGTCGCCCTCTAACACCCAGCGATCCCACAGCGTCCACTTCAGGTCTTTGAACGCGAAAGACTTGGGCGCGATGGGCTCCGCCATCGCGAACAGCGGCAGCGCCAAGTTGGCGAACGTGTTCCGGTACGCCTCCATCTTCGCGCCGTTGAGCGCCTTGTACAGCTCGAGACACACCAACCCGGTCGCCATCGCCGTCGTCGTCGCGATCGCGGGGATGATCCGCCCGGCGATGAACTTCGCCTTGAGCTTGTCCACCTCCGGGATGTCGTAGTTCCTCGCGCGCATGTTGCTCAGACCCGCGATGGCGTCCATGTGGAAGTTGGAGTCGTCGTCCTTCTCGAACTCGATCACCTCGAGACGGTAGTCCGCCGTGAACGTCGCGCGCACGGCGTCAAGCTTCTCGAGGAGGTCGTTGATCGTGGCCTCGTCGTCCATGTCCGAGCCCGAAACCGCCGCGGTCGCCTTCGGGTCCGTCTCGATCTTGACCCCGGTCTTGGGCTCGAACGGCGCGACGGGCACCGCGTCCACGGCGGCGGCGAACGCCGCGTCGTCCGTGACCCACTCCGGTCTCGTCACGCCGTGCACCTCCGCTTTCAGGTTCGCCATCGCGCGCATCAAGACCAGGTTCGAGGCGTCCGACGTCGAGAACGTGAGCGCGTGAGGGAACCGCTTCGGGGCGGACCAGAACGCGTTCCCCGTGGACGTGACGCAGTCCTGGGGAAACGTGTACACGAGCTGCGCGATCTTGTCGTGGAAGACCTCTTGGAACCGAAGTCTGGCCCACCGCACGCATTCCTCGTACGTCGAGCACCGCGAGCCGAGGAGGCACTCCGCGGCTTTCTCGACGTTCTCCCGCGCGGACGCGTCCCCGGCCGCTCGCGCGGCGGCGGCGTACTCCTCCGGCTTGGCGAGGTACGCGTTCGCCTCCGCGGGGGACTTTTCAAACGCGCCTTCGAATTCGCTCCGCGCCCACGTCAGGCAGTGATCGATGTTGTGCGGGAACGAATGCAGCGTGCACATCGGCGCGGACTTCTCCGGGGGATCGCGCGACGCGCCGTAATTCTCCGTGAGTCCGGGGATCACCATCTGCGTGTTGCACTTCGTCCCGAGCGTCCCGGACTCGAGAAGCGGCTTTCCAAAGTACACGCACCGCGAGTCGACGTACAGACGCGCGTTGACGTTATCGAGCGCGTTCACGACGACGTCCAGACCGGACCAAAACGCGTCGTCGAACACGTCCTCGGTGTCCGGGGAGACGCGATTTTGCAGCGGGACGACGTTGAGCTTCGCGTTGATCGCCTTGGCCGCGTTGGCCGCGCAGTCGCTCTTCGCCTGGCCGATGTTCCAGTCGCGGAACAGAAACTGCCGCGAGAGGTTCGACTTTTCGATGACGTCGTCGTCCGTGACCGTGACTTTCCCTTCTTCGCCGCAGCAGAGCCCCATGAGCGCGAAGTTCTTGATGAACTCGCACCCGAGCGCGCCCGCGCCGACGAGGAAGATCTTCTGTTTCTCGATCTTCCGCTGAAGCGTGCGGCCGAAGCACGCGATTTGCGCGTCGTACCTGCTCCCTTCCGGGGCCACCTCCTCCGCCGTGAGCGTCTCGATCGGCGGCAGCGACTCCACGGAGTCGAAGTAGAACCACTGAAACAGCGGGTGAAACTTCCCCGTGCACGCCTTCACCACCTCCTGGCCGATGACGCCGCCGAACATCGCGCACATCGGCGAGACGCACCCGCGCGACGTCTTCGCGAGGAGCGTCAGCACGCCGTCCGGGTCCACGTCATCCAGCTTCGCGCCCGCGGGCGCGGCCGCGTTGAGCTCGTTCGCGACGGCGACGACCGCGGCGGCGTCCGCGTCGTCCCCGGGCTTCGGGAGCTCGCCGCCGTTCGACGCGGCGAACTTTTCGAGCGCGGCGAACCCGAGGTGCAACGCGGGCGACCGCTCGAGTTTGGAAAAGTCGGACAAGAGGAACTCCCCGGGGTCCGCCATCGCGTCCTTCAGCGTCTTGAACTTCAGCGTCTTCGTCTCCTTCACCTGCGTCGCGATCCCGCCGCCGGTGTACGCGCCGTACGACGTCGTGTCCTCTTCGAGCTGGAACGAGTGCGCCTTGACGTTTTTTATTTTCCGCGGCTTTCCGTCGTTGAGTTCGGTCATCCCTCTCACCTCCGTGAAGATCACGGACTGCCCGTCCTGGAGCTCGACGCGGTCGTCGTCCACGCACGTCACCATCGGCGTCGCCTCGTTGCTCACGCTCGCTACGATGCACGTGTGCGGCTCCTCGCCGTCCGTGTCCGCGACGTGAAACGCCGGGCCGAAGTCGCAGAAGAGCGATCCGAAGACGCCTCGAACGTCGCCGCGAACGAACGCGATCCCGTTGTCGTGGCAGAAGGCGTCGATCGCGGTCGCCCTCTCGAGCGGAACGTCCGTGCAGACGACCACCTGATGCTTCGCGCAGAGCGCGTCGGAGATCTCGTCCGCGACGACGGTGACCGCGACCGCGGGGTTGAGCTCCTGGAGCCTCCCCGCGCACGCGGTCGCGCGGTTCGCGCCGACGTCCGCCTCGGCGAGGTAAAACTGCGCGCTCAGATCTGAGAGCTCGCACGCGGTGGTGTCCTGGAGCGTGACCGCTTTCACGCCGGCGAGGATGACGTTCTTCGCGATCTCCGCGCCGAGGCCTCTCATGCCGCAGATCAGCACGCTCGCGCCCGCGAGACGTCGCATGGACTCGCGGCCGTAGACGGCGAGCTGCCGGGAGTGGAGATCCTCGTCGATCTCGCCCGCCGCCGTCATCGTGTCCACGCGCTGCTTCTTGGCGGTGGGTTCGGGGGACTTCTCGTGAGCTCTCTTCGTGGGCGCAGTTGTCATCAACGTTCGTTACGTCTGCGATGCCTGGTCGGGGGACGAGGCCTCGTGCGCGCGCGGCGAAAGTGCGTCGGACGACCGATACGACGCGACGTTCCAGTCATCAAATATTCGAAACTCAAAAGTCGCGTTTCATCCCGCTGCTGCGAGCTACCGCGCAGTTCTCGCATCGCGCGCGACGACGGCGACGATGGCGACGACGGCGACGATGGCGACGCGCGTCGCCTCCGCGCGGTGCCACCGCGCGTTCGCGCGCCGCGTCCTCGCGTCGCACGTCCCGCGACGCGTCCGCGTGTTTCGAGCGCGTCGCGACGACGACGACGACGACGACGCCGACGACGCGTCCGACGAGAAGACGCGAACGTCCGTCGACACCGAGCTCTCGAACCGATGGATCGACTTAGACCCGGCGGGGTACTTCCTCGTGAAGGTGGACCACGCGACGCGAACGATCGAGGCGGCGCACTTCGAGAACGCGATCGACGACGCCGGCAGGGCGTGCGACCCGGTCACGGGCGAGGTCATCCCGTGCGACGGGTCCTACCGGAAGCCGGCGGCGTCGGCGACGTTCGCGGGGCGCACCGCGAAGGAGATCAGCGTGAAGATATTAGAGACGGAGGAGGGCGAAGGGCTGTGCACGATGCTCGTGCACGCGAACTACCTGGGGAGGGAGTTCCAGCGCGCGGAGGCGTGCCTGAGGGAAGGGACGGAGTACGTGCAAGACTGACGGCGGCGACGGCGGCGACGGCGCGTCCGCGGAATAGATGGAGCGTTCTCGCCGCTTGAAAAACGCACGCCGCTACGTAGCCTCGCGCCGCCCACCCCCGCGCGCGACAGACACCTCGAACCCCCGCGCGTCACAAGAAGTAGTCCGGACACCTCACCGGTCCGTCCCCGGTCTTTTGCGCCTCCCCCCGCCGCGGCGCCGGGTCAAACTGCAAAAACTCGCTCGTCATGTCGTCGCTCACCTCCATGATCGACGCCTGGTTCCCGCACCGGTAGCAGTAATTCGGCGCGGAGAAGATCGTCACCAAGCTCTGATCGTGGTGCCACAGGTACCCCTCCATGACGAGCTGGTGCGCGCGCGCGATCATCTTCAGCCCGTTGGCGTGGTTAAACTGCTCGCTGATGTCTTGCCCGAACGTGTACCCCGCGCCTCTCGGGGACATCCCCCACCCCGTGCGATCGTCCGGATCGGACCACACTAAATCGCACACCGGCCCCTCGTGCGGGACCTCCTGGAACCGGTCGATCTTCCGGACGTCCTCGAGGGAGTCGATCGACGGGGACAGCCCGCCGTGCGGACAGAAGATCTGGTTCTCGATCACCGCGGTGAGGGGCATGTAGTCGAACAGATCCGTGAACGCCTTCCAGATCCCGGCGTGGCCGTACTTCCGCATGCACTCGTCGTAGAACCCGTACACTTGCGTGATCTGCCGCGACTCGTGGTTCCCGCGGATGATCGTCACGCGGTCCGGGTACCTCACCTTCAGCGCGACGACGAGCGTCACGGTCTCGACGCTGTAGTACCCGCGATCGACGTAGTCTCCCAAGAAGAGATAGTTCGTATCCGGAGCGTACCCGCCCATCTTAAACATCTCGAGCAGGTCGTGGAACTGCCCGTGGATGTCTCCGACGACCGTCACCGGCGCTCGCACCGCGTGGACGTTGCTCTCCTCCGTGAGCAGCGTCTTCGCGCGCTCGCACAGGGAGAGGACGTCCTTCTCGGGGAGAAACTCGTGCTCGAGGAGCGTCGCGACCATCGCGTCGTAGGTCGGGAACTCCTCCCCGTCGAGGCGTCCCATGACGACCGACGAGCGCGCTCGTTCGCGAGAGACGCGTGCGCGCGAAGGAAGGGGGGAGGAGGAGGAGCGCGGGCGAGTTGACCGCGAGAGCGCGCGGCTCGCGCGTCTGTGACCGGGCGCGCGGATCGGAGGCGGCGTTCAAAAGCCGCGCCCCATAACCAATCGACAAGGTGCGCTGATGCGATAATTCGATTCAGACTAAAAAGCCATAGAGTACGTGTACAGTACGCAAATTTTCGTATTGAATCTTTTTGCTGGGAACCCGAGCGAAGCCGCAGCCGCGCGGCGCGGATCGGTTCCGAGAAATCACGCCCTCCCCCGCGCTCTCCCTCCCTCGCGCTCTCAGTTCCCGAGGCGCGAGCTCGAAGTTTGACGCGATGCCGCCGAAGAAGCCGGGCGCGGGGCTCGCGAGCGCGAAGAAGCGCCCGCACGAGGCGCCGACCAAGGGCAGGAGGGCGTTCGCGGGGACGAGACAAAAGGTGCCTCGCGCGGGAGGCGCCGCCGCGGATCGATTCGCCGCCGCCAAATCCGCGGGCGGGTCCGTCCGCGGGGACGGACGCGACGGCGACGACGCGGACGGGGACGACATGATGGACGGCGCGCTCGACGTGGACGACGACGGCGCGCGCGGGCGCAAGGACGAGGACGACTCCGGGGACGACTCCGACGACGAGGTCAAGGAGACCGCGGACGAGAAGCGACTGCGACTCGCGAAATCGTACCTCGAGAAGCTGCGCGCGGAGGAGGAAGAAGCCGGAGGAGACGACTCCGAGGACGACGACGACGACGCCGACGCGAGGAACTTGGACTCGCACGATCGACTCTCGAACCGCCTGAAGAACGAGGCGATGCAGAGCTACGGGAGGGTCCGTCGCGAGGTGGCGAGAAGACTCGTCCACGACGCGGACGACGACGACGCCGATGACGACCGTCGCGGCGCGACGTGGCGCGGACACAAGCGCGCCGTCACGGGCGTGGCCTTGACCGAAGACGACGCGACCGCGTTCTCCGTCTCCAAGGACGGCGCGCTCGTGAGGTGGGACGTCGAGACCGGGAACAAGGACGCGTTCCCGCGAGCGCCGCCGGTGACGCTCGGAATCGACGGCGGCGGCGGCGGCCCTCAGGTGCGTTCTATACACTGGTTCCCATACGACCCCGTTCGCGTGGTGAACGCCGATCCTTAAGGACTTTGCCCGGCGTCTCTCTCCGCCCACCCCTCGCTTTCAATCCCCGCCCTCGACGCCTTTCAACTCCAACTGACGCCTTTCAACTCCACCCCGACGTCGCTTTGTATGGAACGGCCCTCAGTCCCCCCCCCGCTGCGGCGCGCACACGCTCCTGTGCGTCGCCGCGAGCTCGGAGCGGAACCTCGTGTGCGCCGCGGGGACGGACAAGCGCGTGCACGTGTGGGACACGCGGTCGATGAAGCACGTGCAGGCGTTCGCGTCGCACCGCGGGTCGGTCACGAGCCTCGCGATTCGCCAAGGCACGGGGCAGCTCTTCAGCGCGAGCGCGGATAAGACCCTGAAAGTGTGGTCGTTAGACGACATGGCGTACGTGGACACGCTGTTCGGGCATCAGTCCGACGTCGTGGCCGTGCACTCGCAGAGACGCGAACGCGTCGTCACCGTGGGGAGGGACCGGACGTGTCGGTTTTGGAAAGTCGCGGAGGATTCGCAGCTCATCTTCCGCCCGTCCCCCGGGGACGGGCACCTGGAGTCGTGCGCGTTCACGTCCCCGGACACGTGGATCACCGGGTCGGACGACGGCACGGTGTCGCTGTGGAGCACGACGAAGAAGCGCGCGGTGATGAGCTGGAGGGGCGTGCACGGGTTCGGCGGCGGCGTCGACGGAGAGGGCGAGCACGGCGTCGAGGGTCCGAAATTTTTCACGGAGGAGGAAACCGCCGCCGCCGCCAAGGCGCGCGCGGACGCGCAGTCCCTGTGCGGCGTCTCGTCGCTCACCGCGAACGCGCCTAGCGGCGTGAGCAACGCGGGAAGGTGGGTGAACGCCGTCGCCGTGGGAAAGGGCACGGACGTCTGCGCGAGCGGCGCGGGAGACGGCGCGATTCGTCTGTGGCGCGTCTGCGACGATCCGGGGCGCCAGCTCGTGCCTCTGTGGTGCCTGCCCGCGCGCGGGTTCGTGAACTCGCTCGCGATCGCGTCGAGCGGGAGGTTCGTGCTCGCGGGGATGGGGCAGGAGCCGCGGGGGGGGCGGTGGGCCAGGGACGCGGGCGCGAAGAACGGGCTGCTGCTGCATCGGTTGAAGCTCGAGGACTGACGACGAGAAGGGAACGAGCGAGCGAGCGACAAGTTGAGCAAATTAAAAGAATCTTTTTAGTCTACCGAACCGCGTCGCATCACGACCGCGTCGCCGCGTCGTCCTTCTCCGCGTCCGCGACCCTCTGCGCCGCCTGCTCGAGGAGCACGGACCCAAACCTCAGCGCCGCGGCCTGCGCCCCCGGGGCGAGCTCCGGGGCCATCGCGAAGAGCTCCCGAAGCGTCTCTCCGTCGATCGGCGGTCGCGGAAGCCCTGGGTTCGGCACCTCCCCGAGCACGGGCACCTCCACCCACGCCGCGCCGCTCGCGCCTTCGCCACCCGTACCGCCCGGACCCCCCGGCGCGAGCCCGGAGATGAGCTCCCTGAGCTCCTCCGCGACGCGGAGCGTCTCCAGATCCTCCTCCGTCTGCCTCGTCGCCGCGGCGACGGGCGCGAAAAACTCGAGCGCCGTCGGCAGCGGCGGCCGCGCCGGTCCCATCGCCGTGAACGCCGCCTGCTGCGCGTCCGCGAGGCCGCGGAAGAGCGCCGTCGCCGGCGCCGCGGCGACGCTGGAGACAGCCTCGCTCGCGCTCGCGGCGGCGTACCGCGCCATCTCGCGGAGCATGATGTCCTGCACCGGGCCGCCCTCGGGGGCGAACGCGAGACGAAGCGCCTCCTTCGCGCCGTCCGAGAGCGCCGCCGCCTTCTTCGTCGTCAAGCGTCTCTCCGTCGTCGTCAGCGCGGTGGTCTCGTCCGCGCTCGCGATGGCCATCGCGGTCGTCGCCGTCCCGGCGCCGGTCATCGTGGAGTAGTTCCCGAACGCGTTCGCGAGCTGTTTCACGCGCTTGACGCTCAGGGTCGCTCTCGGACCGTCGCGGCCGTACAGAAGCTGTTCGAGCGCCGCTCGCGTGTCCGGGCTCCGGTCCGTGAGCAACCTCCGCGCGACGTACGGGTAGCACTCGTTCGCGATGCTGTAGTTTTTATCCGACGCGAGGCCGATCCCCTCGAGCACGGAGAACGACCGCAGGATGTACCCAAAGTACGACGGAATCTGGAAGATGTTCCCGTACTTCTCCTGGATGCCTTCGAGGTCGCGCGTGAGCTGCGCGACTTTGCTGTCCGCGCCGCCGCTCGCCTCCAAGAACTTCTCTCGCCGCACTTTCATGTCCTTCACGCCCTTGAGCTCTTTCCTAATCTCCTTGATCTTCTCCTCGTCCGGTAAACCGAGCTCGGCGCGGAAACCCTCCGCGCCGCCGCCTTTCGCGAGCGCGCTGAAGAGAAGCCCAATCGCGGACGCGACGCCGGCGTCCTCCATCGCCTCCCTCTTCCCGGTCGGGATGAACCCCATCGCGTCCAAGTCCGCGGGCACGCGCTCGAAGTCTTTCGACACGAGGTGCGCGATGAACTTCAACGTCGCGGTGGAGAGCTCGTCCGACACCGGGGTCACGAGCCCCCAGTCCAGGATGCACAGCTTCCCGTCCGCGGTTCGGAACAAATTCCCCGGGTGCGGGTCCGCGTGCAACACGCCGATGTCGAGCAACATCGCGAGGTACGCCGCGAGCGCGACCGCGCACAGCCTCGGGACGTCCCCTTCCTCGGACGTGTCCAGCCGCTGGCCCTCGATCCAGTCCGTGGTGAGGACTCGCCGCGTGCTCGCAACGCGCTGAACTTTCGGCGCGGTGACGACACCCGCGAGATCCGGCCTCGACTCCATCGCCGTTCGGAACCGTTCGCCGTTGTTCGCCTCTCTCTCGTAGTCGAGCTCCTCGACGAACCGCCTCCCCCACTCGTCGACGAGGCTCTCGAGGTCCGTGTTTAGTCCTTTGAACTTCCGCCACGGCTCCGCGAACGACCGGATGATCCCGACGTCCAGCGAGATGGCGACGAGCGCGCCTGGGCGTTGCACCTTCACCGCGACGGGTTTCGTCGACCCGTCCGCGTCGCGCAGCGTCCCTCGGTACACCTGCCCGAGCGACGCGGACGCGATCGGCGCGTCGCTCAGCGCGAGCGCGCGCGCGTTCGCGACGCCGAGCTCCGCTTCCAGGATCCTCCGCGCGAGCGCGTCGTCGAACGGTGGCACCGCGTCTTGCAACGTCCTGAGCTCCTTCACGTACGCCGCGGGGAGTAAGTCTTGCCGCGACGACAGCACCTGCCCGAGCTTCACGTACGTCGGCCCGAGCGCGATGAGCAGGTCGCGGAGCTGCGCCGCGCGCCTGGCGTCCACCTCGTTCTTGCGCTTCTCCTCCGGCTCGTCGCCGAGGATCTTGCGGTCGAGCCACAGGTCGAACCCGAACCCGCCAAGGAGCCGGCCGCTCCGCGCCATTCGCTTCAACGCGACGAGCGGTCGCTTCTTGAAGAACGCGACGATCGCCTTCGGGTCGTACTCCTTGAGATCGTCCGGCTCGTCCTCGCCCTCGCTCGCGGCGAGCGCGGCCCACTCGTCCATGCCCGCGTTCGCGTTCCCGGCACCCGCGAAGCCCAAGAGGCGCGGCGCGAGCGCGAGGACGACGGCTGCGGCGGCGAACTTGGCGCCGACGCCGGCGTTCGCCGCCTCCGTCGCCGCGTCCGTCGCGACGCGCACGAGCGACGGCGGCAGCGCGGCGACGAGCGCGTCCGCGGAGCTCGCGACGTTGTCCACGAGCGCGTCCGGGAGGAGGTCCACGAGCGCTCTCGACGCGGTCGACGCCGCGACCGCGGTCGCGTCCGCGGACGCGGTCGCGCTGGAGACGAGATCGTCGCGCGCGGCGGAGAGCGCGTCGAGCGCGCCGTCGACGCCGCGCCAGATTTCCGCGCTGAGCTCGAGCTCGGTGGCTTTGATCGCGCGCGCGGTCGCGGCGAGGTCCACGTCGGCGAGGTCGGGGAGAGGGCCGCCGAGCGCGCGGACGCGGACGACGCCTCCTCGCGTCGGACGTTTCGTCGACGTCACTCGCCGACGAAACGTCGACGACGACGCGACGCCGGGCGCCCGGGACGCGCTCGCGCGAGCGGCCGCGAGGCGCGACCGCGCGACGCGCGAGGTCGGACGGTGCGTCCCGACGGCCCGCGTCGCGGACGCGGCCATCGGCGCCGTCGAGGACATCGTCGCTCGCGTTCGCGCGGTGTCGTGCGCGCGCGGAATGATTGATGTCCTCTCTCCACGCTGCAGCGATCTCGTGGCTCTGCGTCGTCGCGGCGCGTCGCCGCGGCTGCGCGCCAAATGCTGACAGGAGCGCGCCGCGAGCTACGAAAAAAGCGGAGCAAAATGGTGCCGACGATCTCAATCATCAGTCATTCGTCCGACGCGCGAGGCGCGAGGCGGGGCGCGATGGCGGACAGCCTCGTCGACCTCGGGCTGCAGGATGCGCTGCGATACATCCACGTCAACCTCCTCCCGAGCGTCGTCTTGCTCGTGCGCGACGTCAGCATGCTCGCGGTCACCGCGATGACTTGCGTGCGTGGCGCCTCGCCCGAATGAATTATAAATTCATCCATCGTTCGCGCAATTCTCCTCCTCTCCGTCCTCCGCGATCTCCCTCGCGCCCTCCCTCCCGCCGCCGCTCGCTCACCGCGTCCGCCCCCGCCCCTCGTCCCGCTCTTCGTGTCGCAGACGTTCTTCGCGTTCAGCCTCTCTCGCTCGACGACGATCGGCGCCGCGGCGTGGGTCGTCGCGAGGTTCGCATGCGCGCTGTGCGCGTCGTCCGTCGTCTGGCGCGTCGTCGTCGATCCGTTCGTGTACGCGAAGACCGCGGAGTACGTCGAGGTCGGTCGATGGAAGCGTCTGCCGTCGCTCGGCGGGCACACGCCGTTCGACAGGAACACGCCGCGCGAGGACCCCGTGGCGCGACGGCGGCGGGCGCTCGGGCTCGGGCGCGGGACCCCGGGCGCGGCGGGGACGCCCGGGGTCGGAAGCGGCGCGAGCGGCGCGAGCGGCGGCGGCGGCGGAGGAGGAGGAGGAGGAGGAGGAGGACGCGCGTCCGCGGGCGCGCCTCGGGACGCGACGACGTCGACGCCGCGGCGGTCGCTGTTCGGTCGATCCCCGCGCGCGCCGGAGTTTTCCGCGCACGTCTCGTCCGGGCTGAAGCTCGCGTCGAGTCCCCGCGGCGCTAGAGGGATGACGCTCGGCGACTTGCGAGACGGCGTCGTCGTCGCGATCGAACTCCGCGGCGTCGCCGCCGGCGGCGGCGACGGATGGAGCGAGGGTTTCCTCCGCGTGCACGCGCACAAGACGTACGAGACCGCGGCCGCGTTCGGGGCGCTGAACTGGGGCGGGCATCAGATCACGTCCGCGTCGAGGGCGTCCGTGGAGTCGCTGTGCCGCGGCGAGAGGCTCGCGCGGACGCCGGGGGCGCGCGGGAACGGGAGCGTCGTCGGAGGAGGGGAGGACGACGACGACGACGGCGGCGGCGGCGGCGGCGCGCAGAGAGCGCGGACGTCCATGGAGGCGCACTCCAGGGAGGTGTCGAGGTTCTTGTTCAAGGCGCACCTGTTCGGGAGCGGGCGGGACGTGACCCTGCGAAGCGAGAGCACCGGGACGCTCGTGACGACGTTCACGCTGGGCGTGAGGTTCGAACGACGCAGAGTCGTCGCGTGGCATCGCACGCGGTCGAGCAAGCTCCTCACCGCGGCGGTGAGCGCGTTTACTCCTCCGGAAGGCGGCGCGTGGGAGGAGTTCTCGCTGCGGCCGGCGGCGAGGACGCCGCTCGGGTTGAGGCTGTGCGACCTCGCGGAGGCGACGGACGCGGACGAGTTCGTGATGTGCCGCCCGCGGGACGGGACGTATTGGGGGTACAACCTCGGCGGGGACGACATGATCGCGTTCACGCGGGATCTGAAACGCGCGTCGTTGTTCCGCGTGCACCGCGCGTTCCCAGGGGACGAAGATAGCCATTCGGACTGACGCGCGCACGGAGAGGGAGAGTGTATGGTAGAACGCGACGTTCAAGCGCGAGGGACTCTCTACATCGTTCCTGCTCCTCCGTTCGCGCCTCTGTTCGCGCCGCCGCCGCCCCCGAGCTTTATCCCGCGCGCCGCCGCGACGATCTTGACGATATCCTCGTCCACGGCGTCACCGTCGCGCGTGGACATCACGTACGCGTCCCTCGCCGCGGCGCAGCACGTCGCGAAGCACCGAAGTTTCTTCGCGTCCGGGACGTCGTCCAGCGACAGCGCGGCGATGACGTTCACGAAGTAGTCCAAATCCGCGGCGAGCTGCGCCGCGCCGAGGTCGGTCAACGCGGAGATCCCTCTCACCTCCGTCAGCAGCAGCGACGCGGCCGCGGCCGCGACTTTCGCCATCCACTCCCCGGCGTCGAGCTCGGGGACGTCGTCCGCGCCGCCGGGACCGGCCGCGCCCGCGACCGCGCCCGCGCCCGCCTTCGTCGGCGTCCCCGGGGGTTCGTTCCCTCGGTCCTCCGCGTCGCCGCCGGTCGACGCGCTCTCCGTCGCCGCGGCGAGACGCTTCGCGTTCCTCTCCTCCTCCCTCGCCTCCACGATCGCGTCGAGCGTCGTCGGCAGCGACAGGAGGTACTCCCCCGCGTTCGTCATGTACTCCTGCGGATACGCGGAAAACGTCGGAAGGTTTAACCCGCCGGACGCCCTCGTCTCGCCCCACTCCGCGCGGCCGCGCATCCCGCGAAGCTCGTTCCTCACCTTCGACGCGAGGACGTCGAGGACGAACTGGTTCGCCGCGTCCTCGAGCGCGCTCGCGCGCGCGAGCCCGAGCGGCAGCGGCTTGAACCGCGCGTCCGACGCGACGCGTTCGAGCAGGTTTCGAAGCTCCGCCGCGCGCGCCGGGTTGGAGGCGACGGCGCAAAACGCGGGGGTGAGATCGTCCGCCGACTTGGCCGCGACGGGCGCGGCCGCGGGCGGCGCCTCGCCCTTCCCCGTCCCCTTCCCCGACGCGGGCCCGGGCGCCGCGAGCGGGAGCGCGTCGCGCGTCGCGATCGCGAGCTCACGCGCGGACTCGAGCAACTCGTCCGCGAGCGCCGTCGCGCGCGTCGCCGCCGCCGCCGCGACGGTGGCGAGCTCGAGCGACGAGATCACGCTCTCCTCCCCCGGCGCCGCCTTGAACGCCTCCCGCCCCGCGCCCGCGTCGAAGACGTCGCCGCCGCCGGTCCCGGGGCTGCCCCCCGCCCCGGGGCTCGCTCCCCCGTTCCCGCCGCCGGCGGCGCGGTCGTTCAGTTTCTTCTCCAAGGCGTCGTCTCGAGGTAACCCGGTCGCTCGTCGCAGCTTCCTCAGCGCGCGCATCATCCCGGTGAGATGCCGCGCGAGCCCGGCGTCGACGGCGGTCAACAGCGCGGGGAACGACGCCCCCGCGGTGAGCGCGATGCACCTGATCCTCGGCTCCGCGAGCGCCTCCATCGCCGCGGCCGTGGACGCCTTGAACGCCGCGACGACGGCGTCGATGTCGTCGCTCTCCGGCGTCGCCCGCGCGGCGTCGACGGCGTCGGCGATCGTCTTCGTCTCGAGCTCGCCGTACCGCGCGTGCACCGCGTCGAACGGCGCGAGCGACGCGATCAGGGCCGCGCCGCTGGCCTCGACGCCGGAGACGTCCGCGAGGAGCGTCGCGCAGCGCGCGAAGCCCTCCCCCGCGGCGGCGTGCGCGGCGATGAACGTCTCGAGTTTATTCGACGACATCCGCAGCGCGAACGCTTTGTTCACGCGCCGGCTCAGCGCGATCCACGCGGAGCTCACGAGCGCGCCGTGCTCTTTCGGGAACGCGGTCCGCGTCCACTGCAGCTCGCGTTGGAGGCGGTCGTGAAGCTTGCGCGCGTAGCCGGGGAGCCACTCGACGAAGCGTCGCACGTCCGCGGCGGAGGGCGGCGTCGCGCGCGATTCGTCCTCCACGCCGTCCGCGTGAAACGCGTTCCACTCGCGCAGCATCGGCGCCACCACCCTCGTCTCCGCGTACGTCGCGGTGAGCGCGTTCAGGCGACCGGTGATCTTGAGCACGTCCCTGATCTCCTCCGCTTTGATCGCGTCCGACGCGGTCAGCGCCTTGACGAGCTCCGGTTTCAAAATCTGCTCCAGACGTCGCTCCAACGCGTCCACCTTCTCCGGCGCGTCTTGAAACTCCGGGACGCCGCCGACGACTTTAAGCGCGCGACGCATGGACGCGAGCACGTCCGCCATCGACCGCACGTTCCCCGCCGCGAAGACGTCCTCCACGGACGCCATCAGCTCGGCGAGCCCCGCGGCTTCTCGCAGCGTGTCCCTCGCCGCCTCCATGCGGCCCTTCACCGCGTCCACGCGCGTCAGCCTGCGCACGCTCTCGCGCGAGCTCCCCTCCGCGTCGTTCAGGCGCTTCAGGATGCCCTGCACGCGCGTCTGGAGCGCTTTCGTGTCGTGCTCCACGCGGTCGATCTCCGCGACCGCGCGAGGGATCCGGTTCAGCCCCGCGTTCGACTGCTCCTCGAGCGCGAGAGAGATGTCCTCCGCCGCGAGCTGGAGCTTCATCTCGACTTCCGCGAGGAACTTCTCCACGCTCTCGTCGTCCGGGCACCTGCGTCGTGGGAATCGCGGGGGGGGGGGGTGAGAGGGTGAGATCGCGACGACGCGCGAAGGCGCGCGGGGCGGGGGCGGGAGGAGGAGGAGAAAGACGAGGACGAGGAGGAGGGGAGAAATTCATCCGCGCGCGCGCTGCCGAGACGAGACGCACCCCGCGCACGCGGCGTTCACCCACGGCTTGACGTCGAACGACGGGTCGTCGAAGTCTGCCATGGAGATGGACATGACGGACGCGCGAAGGGACTCGCCGCTCCCTTCCTCTCGCGCGGAGACGCCCTTCCCTTCCTCCGGGCGCTTCGATCTGCGCTTCGCGAAACGTTCTGTTGACGACGAGCTCTTCGTCTTCGACTTCTGAGAGTTTCCGTCGACGTCGCGTCGCGCGCGCGCGCCACAGCGACGCGCGCGTCCGCTCGGTCCGCGACGCGATGTCCGTCGCCGCGATGCCGCCCGCCGCGCGCCTCGCCCGGTCCGGCGTGATCGCGAACGCGACCGCACCGCGCGGGAGCCCTCCTCGCGGCGCGGCGCGCGGTCGCGCCGGTTCGCTGACGAGCGATCATCGACGTCGCGTCGTCCGGTCGATCTCCGCGACAGCGCTCGGCCGACGCGCGTCCGCGTCCTCCGCGCCCGCGCGATGGACCGCGCGACGCGGCCGCGGCCGCGCGGCGCAGACGCGATGGACGACCGCGATCGCGCCCGGCGCGAGGGAGGAATCCGCGGCGTCCACCGCGGCGGCGGACGACGGCGACGACGCGACGGCGTCGTCCTCCTCCTCCTCCTCCTCCGCGGACGCCGACGCGATCGTCGATCGCGTCCTCGACGCCATCGCGGACACGGACTCGGGACGTGACGTCACCGACGCCGTCCGCGAGGCCGTGGACGCCGACATCGTCGCGCTCGCGAAGATCGCGTCCGACGCGAACGGCGGCGACGGCGCGCGGACGCTGACCGATCCGCGCGTCTACGGCGACTACGACGTGTCCTACGTCTCCACGGGGCGCGCGCAGATTGGCAACCCCGCGGGCGGGCGGTTCCGGGGCGGGATAGGCGCGATGCTGTTCCGAACGATCGGTCTGGAGCAGAACCTGTACGAGCCGAACGTCGTCGTGAACCGCGTCGCGTTCCTCGTCTTCGGGTTGATCCCGGGCGAGGTCGTCTTGGACGGGACGTTCGAGGCGATGACGGAGGACCTCGCGGACCCGAACGCGCAGCCGGCGGCGGAGGAGGAGGAGGAGACGACGGAGACGCGGGACGGCGCGGGGGGAACTGATACGTCACCGGGAGAAGGTGAATCGACGCCACCCAACGACGCCGAAGGCGGCGGCGGCGGCGAGAAGGAGAAGGAGAAGGAGAAGGCGTACGAGCGCGAGGTGGTCGTGAAGAAGGGCTACGGCGTCGACGACGGGATGACCGTCCGCGCGTTTTTCGCGCCGCCGAAGATAAAATTCGGCGGGTTCCCCGCGTTTTCAGTCGGCCCGAAGAGCAGCGTCGTGCTCTCGACGACGTATCTGGACGAGCGAATACGGCTCGGGAGAGGCAGCCGCGGGTCGCTGTTCGTGTTCACGCGGAAGACGAGAGAAGACGCGGAGAGAGACCGGAAGCGGTGGGCCGTGGGAGGGCTGGGCGTGACGGTGTTCCTCGCCGCGACGCTTGGATTTTTCGTCGTCGCGTGGCGAAGGTTCACAGCGGGCGGGGTCACGGAGCTCTCCGTCGCGACCGCGGTCGCGGTGGTCGTCTCGTTCGCGATGGCGCTCGTGATGCGGCAAGGGGGGATCATCGCCGAGGACGCGGACTACGACGAGAAGTACGACACCGTCGTCGCGAAAGCCGCGGCGACGGCGCGTCGTCGACGAGCGGCGAACGAGGGCGAGTGACGACAGCTTGCGCTCGCGGAATAATATTACTGGTACCTCGCGGCGGCTCCCTCCGTCAACTCAAATCCACGACGTCGTCGTCCTCCATGTCGTAGTCTTTCGGCCTCTTGACGCGTATGTCCACGACGTCGCCGTCGAACTTCACGACCGGCGGGTTCCCGAGCTTCGACTTGGCTTTCGCGCCGTCCTCCGTCGCGAGCCAGTCGGTGAGGATCCTCGCGAACGTCTGCCCGTCGAAGCACGTGAAGTCGTACTTCTTCCCGTCGCTCGTCTGCATCACGACGCACAGCGCGTGGCCATCGTCGTCTCTTCCTCCTCCTCCTCCTCCTCCTCCTCCTCCCACTGCGCCTCCCGCGGCCGCCTCGCCGATGATCTCCAGGTCGTCGTCGTCCACGAACGGCTCCGGAGCGGACGTCTCCGTCGCCGCGCGTCTCAGCTCGTCCATCGCTTCTCGGTTTCGTCGCAGCGTCTCTCTCGCCTCCGCGTCGAGGTTCCCCCCTCGCGCGGCCGCGTTCGACGCCGGCGGCGGCGGCGGCGCGAGGAGCTCGCTCGTGATCGTCGCCGCCGCGGAGGCGGCGGCGGACGTCCCGGCGGCTACATCCGCGCGCGAGCCGATGGACGTTCGCCTTCGCTTCGACGGGGAGATTTCGAAGGTGTCGTCGAGGTCGTCGCCTCCTCCGCCGAACGCGCCGCCCGCGGCGCCGGCGTTCTCGTCCTCCTCGTCCGACCACACGACCTGCCTCGGACGCTTGAACACGAGCGCGTCGTCGCTGTCGCTCGAGCTGTCGCCGTCGCTCGAGGACGACATCCTCGACGCGCGCGGCGAAGTGCCGTTGCGATCGTTGGACGTGCCAACGGGGCAGGGTGCCTAAACCGTTTGCGAGTTTGAAATGCGGATAACCTCGTCACTCGCGATGGCGCACCTGTGCCCGCGCTACCCGCAGCGCGCGATGTTCCTCGCCGCCGCGCGCGGGCGCGCGCGCGTGCGGCGGATGAGCGCCGCGCGCGCCGCGCTCGCGGTCCCGGAGCCGCACCGGGGCGGCGCGACGACGAGATCCGAGGACGCGCGACGCGAAAACGTCGACGTCGCCACGGCGTCGAACAACGTCGTGCCGTTCCGACGGAAGCTCCCGGAGACGGTCCCGGACGCGCCGCCGGCGTCCGCGGAAGAAGGTGCGACGACGCGCGCTCGCGCCTCTCCCGCGTCTCGTCGTCACGACTCGTGAAGTGTTGTCGGTGTACAACTCTACCGACTAAGGGCTCTCTCACTCACACTAGTCAACATCGCGGCACCCGCGATCTCACCGCGCGAACGATCGATCGAACCTTCTCTTCCTTCAGTGCGCGCGCTCGCGTCGTTCATCACCGCGGCGGAGCGCCTCCTCGTCATCACCGGCGCCGGGTGCTCCACCGAGAGCGCGATCCCGGACTACCGCTCCCCCAAGGGCGCGTACTCGACCGGGTTCAAGCCGATGACGCATCAAGATTTCCTCCGCGCCGACGGCAACCGCAAGCGCTACTGGGCGCGGTCGTTCGTCGGGTGGAAAAAATTCGCGGAGGGGACGTCGCCGAACCGCGCGCACGTCGCGCTCGCCGCGCTCCAGCGCGAAGGCCACGTGTGGCGGCTCATCACACAGAACGTGGACAGGTTACATCACGCCGCCGGGAGCGAGGACGCGCTGGAGCTGCACGGGACGACGCACGAGGTGATCTGTTTGAACTGCGACGACGTCACGCCGCGGACGCGGATGCAACGACGGCTGATCGAGCTCAATCCGACGTTTTTAGGGAGCACCCTTCGCGACGCGGAGGACGTCGTGAAGAGACAGAACCCGGACGGCGACGTCGAGCTCGACGGCGGCGTCGAGAAGACGTTTAAACTCCCGACGTGTTTGAAGTGCGGGACCGGGACGCTGAAGCCGAAAGTCGTGTTTTTCGGCGACTGCGTCCCGGCGAAAGACGCGAGCGTCGCGAAAGCGTGGAGCGAGCGCGCGGACGCGGTGCTCGTCGTCGGGTCGTCCGTGTCCACGTTCAGCGCGTACAAGCTCGTGAAGGAGGCGGTCACGAGAGGCGCCCCGGTGGCGATACTCACCAACGGCGACACGCGCGTCGACGACGTCGCGGATTTGAAAGTGCGCGCGGTCGCGGGCGAGACGCTCTCACGGATTCTCGACGTCGTTCGCAGAGAGGAGACGTACGGGTACTGACGACGCCGAGATTGTTGTAAAGATACGTGTACGCGTACTGTATGATGATGCGCTTTGTACAATATGGAATAAATTAGTATATAGAACACACACTTAATGTACACGTACTAACACACACTTGATGTACGAACGACGAAACCGGCTGGTACTTGCCACGTGAACTCCGCGCTCGTCCGCCGTCACTTCAACGCCTCCAACACGCTGATTACAATGCCGAGGAGACACTTCCCGAGCGGCTCGATCACGCTGCCGCACTCTTTGCAGCAGTCCCCGATCAAGGGCCCGACCGCCCCGAAGCACTCGCCGCAGTTCTCGCAGCACCCGCTCAGCAGCGGCACGACGCTCCCGCAAGCGCCGCCGAGGCAGTCGGGCAACCCCTGGCACGCACCGCAAATCGACCCGCACGCGTCGCCGACCACCCCGGTGATCGGCGCGCACGCGTCGAGGCACGGCTGACACAGTCCAGTCGCGAAGCCGCACGCGTCGCCGCACGTGTCACCGCAGACGTCGCAGACGGTGCAGCACCCTTCGCCGATCTGCGACCCGGCGTTGCCGATGACCCCGGCGAGGGCCTCTCCCGCGGAGCCGACGACGCCCGCGCCGTTCGCGAGCGTCCCGGCGATGTTCCCGAACCCGATCATCGCCCCGGCGGCGCCGAGGACTAAGATCCCCGCCGCGCCGCCGACGGCGTACATCGCTATCTTGCTCTTCTTACCCTTCGCCTTGTCTTTTTTCATCTTTTCCTCGTTCGCGGGCGTGACTTCAAACGCGCACAGCTTCGTGTACGGACACGCGACGTCGTGCTCCACGGAAATGTCGATGATCTCCTTCTCGAGCTTCTTATCGTCGTAAAGCCACGCCTTGGCGACGAGGAGGTCGATCCGCTGCTTGACGAACACCTTCTCCAGAGGCACGGTGAGCGTGTCGATCGCGTCGTCGTTTTGCACCGCCACCGTCTGCTCCCACACGCCGCCGTCCGCGGTTCGGCCGCGAATCGAAATCGTCGGCGGCAGCACGCCCATCACCTTCCCGCTCACCATCACCGGCGTCGCGAGGTACAGATCCGGCACCGGGAACGGGTACAGCTCCACCTCGGACCCGACCCCGACGCCGATCTCGATGTTGGTCAACACCGGCGACCGCGCGGCGGTGAGCATCTTCGACATCTGCGTCGCGATCTTATCGTTCGTGAACGCGGCGTCGAATAAACCTCGTCCGATGTTCGCGAGCATCTTGAGGAAGTAGTGGTTGCAGTACTGCCCGATCCCAAACGTGCACACGCGCGGGAGCGCCTCGCCCTTTTGCTGCGACTCCGCCATCAACATCTTGCAGATCTCTTTCTCGTCCGACACGGCGCCGTCGGTGATGAGGAACACGAACGGCACCGTGCCTACAAGCGAAAGTCGGGGTGGAGTTGAAAGGCGTCAGTTGGAGTTGAAAGGCGCCGAGTGCGGGTATTGAAAGCGAGGGATGGGCGGAGAGATGCGACGGGCAAAGTCCTTAAGGATCGGCGTTCACATCGCCAACGCGGTCGTATGGGGACCAGTGTATAGAACGCACCGTTCCCGGCGCACCCGGCGAGGAGCTTCAGCGCCTCGCTGAGCGGCGTGTAGATATCCGTCGTATAGCGCGCGACGCAGTGCTCGTTCATCCACGCCATCGCGCGCTCGACGTTCTTCGGCGTCGCCTGCGTCATGGCGTTCGCGTCGAAGTACTCCTGCCCGTCGTCGAACGCGCAGATGTTGAAGTAATCGTGCTCCGTGAGCGACCGCAGTCCAGTCGTGAGCGCCTCGTTCGCCGCCTCCATGGGCTCGCCGTTCATGGACCCCGAGCGGTCGATCACGAAGACGACGGACCGACCGAACGCGAGGCATCTCTCCGGTTTCGGCGGCGCGAGCGCGACGACGAACGAGCTCCGCGGGTCCCTCGGCGGCGGCTGCCCGAGAATGTGCGTCGGCCTCTGCTGCACGCACGCGGCGACGATGTGCTCCGCCCACGTCGGCATCGTGAGCTTGAAGTCCGCGTTCTTCCATCCCCCCATCGCCGCGCTCGCGCGCACTTTCTTGAACCCGGACTGTTGTTGAATGATCTGGAGCGGGTGCGACGTCGACGCGACGGCGACGTCGCCTTCGTACGCGCTTCGAATCGCGACGGTGAAGGAGCACACGCCGACGTGGTCTTTATCCCACGGCAGCGACGCCTCCGGCATCGTGCTCGGCGCCGTGAACGCGTACGCGCCGTTCTCGAACTCGAGCGGGTGGAAGTACGTCACGCACACGTCGACGACTTCGTCCGCGGCGACGTTCGGCACCGTCATGCAGAAGACGTCCGGATGCTCCGGCGCGTGCTCCGTCGTGTTCCTCCCGAAGGATTTCCCTTTGAAGTTCGTCGTGTCCTCCAGAGGGACGATCGCGCTCGTGACGCACTTCTTCGACGACCGCGCGGTGATCCCGGTCACGGTCAGGCCGTTCGCGAGCGGCATCGCGAACAGGCACGAGCCGGACGCTTTCCCGTTCAGGAGCGCCTTCGGGACGGTCCACCGCGACGTGCACGTGACGAACCCGGTGGAGAGGTGGCACTCCACGTCGAAGCGAATGGAGTCGCACACCGCGGCGTTGTAGAAATACTCCCCCGCGTGCGGCCCCTCGGCGCACGGCGTCGTGGTGTACAGCCCGGGGCAGGACGGTCGAAGCGCGCCCTCGGCCGCCTGCGGATGGACCGCTTCCACCGCCCGTGGAGCTTTCATCTGCGCGCTCATGAACGTGGGGGGTAGGGTTGCGCGAGAGCGAGAATGATGGACGCGTTGTTGCCATTCCTTCCACTCGAGAGTAAGATTTTTTTTCAGGTGTTTTCGAACGCGCTTGTTCACCCACCGCTCGGTTTCAACATTTGATCGCGTCCACTTTCAACTGACCGATGAACATTTTTTTAGTGAGGATGGCTGAGCCGTCATCATCTTCGATGTCCCGCAGCCCGCGCGCCCCACTAAAAAAAGTTGCACACGCGCCCGCGCGTCGCACGCGCCGCGACCATGAACCAACCGTCGCGCGCGGAGAAGTTCGTCCTCCCCGACGGCGTTCGGAAGCTCACGTTCACGCGCGACACGAAGGTGGCGAACGCGGGGACGTTCGTCGTGCAGAAGGAGGACCACACCCTCGGCAACGCTGTCCGAATGTGCGCAGATCGATCGACCGTCCTTCGCGTCGCGTCGTCGTCGCTTCGCTCGTTTCGTCGCCGTCCGTCGTCCGCGAACGCGACCGCGACCGCGGGTCGCGGACGCCGCCGCCGCGCGCGGCCGAACGCCCGCGCGGTCGGACGCTCGCTCGATCCAACGTCCGCGGATCCGACGAGCGATCGCTCGACGATCGAGCGAGCGAGCGAGCGATCGATGGAACGCCGTCGCTGACCCTCCGCCCCCCCCTCTCTCGCGCGCGCCCGCCCAGGCAACTGCACCGCGACCCCGAGGTCGTGTTTTCTGGGTACCAGGTCCCGCACCCCTCGGACAACCGCATCGTCATCAAGGTGCGCGCCGCGAGCGCTCAGAGCTTAGGGTTTCTTTTTCTCTCCGCCGTCCGAACCCGCGACCCGCTCGCGCTCACCGCTCGTCCTCCTCCCTCGCGTCCACAGGTGCACACGACGAAGAACTCATCCCCGATGCAGGCGATGACCGAGGCGGTGGACTGCTTGCGGACGGAGATCACGGACATCTCGCAAAAGTTCGTCGACGAGGTCGACTCGTTCCGGGCGAATCAGCAATAATTAAATTAGAGAGAAGCGATCGTCGCGTCGAGCGGGGGGCGGGCGACGGACGGAGGGGCGGGGGCGCGCGGCGCGGTCGAGGAGACGCGCGGCGCGGGTTTAGGAAACGTAGCGGAAGACAGCGCGGACGCGGAGGCGGACGCGCGTGTAATTTGAATCACGCTTAGAAGAACAACAGAACGCGCGCGCTCGCGCGCCAGCGCGGTGCTCACTCCCGTCCAGTCCGCGCGTAGTGCCCGAACCAGCCGTGTCGTTCAAGCGGGCGCTCTCAAGCAACGTTTCAAACCGCGGTCGTAAACCGTCGCGCGGACGCGGCGATCGCACTGCGTGCGCGCGCACGACAGGTCACCACCGCACAAGATGGGGGATGAAAATGATCTCTTCAGCGTGGCGATGCTCATCGACGAGCTCAAGGTGCGCGCGCCTCGGAACCCGCGACGCGACGCGCGTTTTCCGCGACCCGTCTCGCGCGCTCGCGAAGGGTTTGACGCGAAAAAAAATACCCGCGAGCGGAGACGCGCGCGGAGATCGCGCGCCCGCGACGCCGTCGACCGCCGAACCCCCCCGTTTCCACGCCGCCGTCGCTCGACGCGAACGTCCACTGACGCGCCGTCCCCTCCCCGTCCGCGCGATGCAGAACGAGAACGTCCAGCTCCGGCTGAATAGCATCCGACGCCTCGCGACGATCGCGACCGCGCTCGGGCCGGAGCGCACGCGAACCGAGCTCGTCCCTTTCCTCACGGACTCGAACGACGACGAGGACGAGTGCCTCCTCGCGATCGCGGAGGAGCTCGCGAACCTGATACCCAAAGTCGGCGGCCCCGAGCACGCGCACGTGCTCCTCGCGCCGCTGGAGAATCTCGCGACGGTGGAGGAGACGGTGGTGCGAGACAAAGCCGTCGCCGCCGCGTGCGCCGTGGGCGAGGCGATGACGTCGGAGGGCGCGACGACGCACTACGTCCCGTGCGTGCAGCGCCTCGCGAACGGGGACTGGTTCACCGCGCGCGTGAGCGCGTGCGGGATGTTCGCGGTGGCGTACAGGAAGGTGGCGGACGCGGGCGTGAGGAGCGATCTGCGGAAGACGTACGCGCAGCTGTGCGCGGACGAGACGCCGATGACGAGACGCGCCGCGGCGCAGCATCTCGGCGCGTTCGCGGGCGAGATCGAGCCGGAGCACGTGCGGGGCGAGATCATGACGTTGTTTAAGCAGCTCACGACGGACGAGCAGGACTCGGTGCGGTTGTTGGCCGTGGAGGATTGCGCGAAGCTCGGGAAGATCTTGCCGAGGGAGGAGTGCGTCGCGGATGTCGTCCCCGTCGTGAAAAAATTCGCCGCGGACAAGTCGTGGCGCGTGCGGTACATGGTCGCGCAGCAGCTGTACGAGCTGTGCGAGAGCATCGGCGCGGATATCGCGCGAGAGGAATTATTGCCGTCGTACGAGCAGCTGCTGATGGACGGCGAGGCTGAGGTGAGGATCGCGAGCGCGGGCGGGGTGTCGTCGTTTTGCGCGCTCGTCGGCGCCGCCGCCGCGGGGGAGAAGATCATACCGAGGGTGAAGGAGCTCGCGTCGGACGGGTCGCAGCACGTCCGCGCGGCGCTCGCGAGCGTCATCATGGGGCTCGCGCCGACGATGGGGAAGGACCAGACGATCGAGCAGCTCTTGCCCATCTTCCTCACGCTCCTCAAGGATGAGTTCCCGGAGGTGCGCCTGAACATCATCGCGAAGCTGGACCAGGTGAACCACGTCATCGGCGTTGACTTGCTCTCGCAGGAGCTCCTGCCCGCGATCAAAGACCTCGCGGAGGACATTCACTGGCGCGTGCGGTTGGCGATCATCGAGTACATCCCGCTCCTCGCGTCGCAGATGGGGACTTCGTTTTTGTTTCAAAAGTCCGAAGCCGACGGCGGGGATCAGCTCAACGCGTTGTGCCTTCAGTGGCTCTCAGACAGGGTGTACAGCATCCGCGAGGCGGCGGCGGTGAACTTACAGAAACTCGCGGAGGTGTTCGGCGCGGAGTGGGCGAAGACGCACATCATGCCCAAGGTCATGGAGCTCATGGCGAACCCGCACTATCTGTACAGGATGAGCGTGATCAAGACGATGACGCTTCTCGCCGGGTGCGTCGGTCAGGAGCTGTGCATGACGGAGATTTTGCCCGCGCTGAAAGCCGCGGCGAAGGATCGCGTCCCGAACGTTCGGTTCTCCGTCGCGAAGGCGTTCGGGGACATCGCGAGCGCGTTAGACCGAGGCGTCGTGGAGGGGGAGATCAAGCCGATCTTGAACGAGCTCGGCGGGGACGCGGACGCGGACGTCCGGTTCTTCGCGCAGCAGTCCATCGCGACGTGCGAGGCCAAGGCGTGAGCGAGGACGAGGCTTTGTAGACTGATGATAATACCAAACCAACCAAAAACAGCTCTACTGTAATTCAAAACGCGCGATACTACGATGCGATCCGATCGACGGAACACGAGACGACGCGGGAGTCGTCTCGTCGTCACCTCGCCGCGGGTAACGGCTCCGCGTCCCCCGCGCCCTCGCCGGCTTTTTTCCTCGTCCCGACGTACTCCTCCCCCCCCCACGACGCCACCTCGCGCTCGACGTCGGTCAAGATGTCCCCGATCTGTTTCAAGAAAATCTTGTGCGCGTACGGCGGCGTCAGCGCCGGTCGCAGCGCGAGCGTGTGCCTGACCCTCACCCCCCCGCCCGGCTCCTCCGAGACGCGCCAACTCCCCTCGAACTCGCGAATGAACCCCCGCTCGTGCAACTCCACCTCCATGTACCGCTCCGTCGGGGTCTCCAACACCGCGAGGTGGCACGGGAACGCGCCGCCGAACACGCCCATGAACTTCCACCGGCACGACTGCGACACGAGCAGCTTGCCGTCGGGTAAGCTCGAGACGTCGCACGCGTCCACGGTGGCGAATATTTTCGGAGACGCCGCGTAGTCCGTCAGCATCGCGTACAGCGAGTCCGCGTCCGAGTCCAAGACCATCTCGCCGACGAGGGAGTACTTCCCGTTCTCGTTCCCGAGCAGCTCGCACTTCGCGGGCTCCAGGACGACGCTCCGCGGCGATTCGTGCGCGTCCGACGACGACGCCCTGCGGACGGAGAGGGACGACGCGGAGGGAGGAGGAGGAGGAGGAGGAGGAGGAGGCGTCAGCGCGGCCGTTGATGGCGGGAAGACGCGCGTGACGTGTCCCAGCGCGCGGTCGTCGCCGCGCGCGCGGGGGGAGCGCGCGCGGGGAATCGCGCGGAGAAGCGCCGCGGGGGCGTACCTGACCGTCGTCCACGTCGCGCCGCGGCGGCGGTTCGAACGGCACGCGCGTGCGGTCGCCGCGAGGGGACGGCTCGCGTCGTCCGCGCGGTCCGAACGACGACGTCCATGGTGCCGCAGCAGCGTCCGCGCCAAACACGCGCGCGACGCGGCGGCGGGCGCGGCCATGACGCGCTCGATGTCTCTGGGACGGTCGAGGCGCGCGCGGGGGGGGGGGGGGGTGTCGACGGTCGCGGCGCTCGAGTCTCCGAGGGCGACGCGGCCGTGCGGGGTCTCTCCCGCGCGGGCGTCGCGTAGTGCGCTCGCCGCACGGCGAAGTTCGTAATATCTGGCGACGCGGCGTACCGGCCTATCAGTGTGCGCGTCTCGATTTTCTGACTATTTCTCATACAAAACACCTCAAAACGTACACGTACTACGCCGTTGACTCTTTTCGGAGAGCCGAGATCGAGGCCGCAGAGATCTCGCGCGCGACGTGCGGCAGTCGTCGCGATGACGACGACGATCGCGAGCTCGACGCGCGCGATCGCGCGCGTCCTCCTCGTCGCGACGTGCTTCGTCGCGCTCGCGACGACAGACGCGGCGGCGGCGCCGACGCCGACGCCGACGCCGAGGACGTGCGTCTCGCACGACGGCCTCCCCGAGTTCGCGATCGCGGGCAAGCCCCCGGCGAAGAACCGCGGCCTGACGTTCTGCGCGGACTACGGCAAGAGCACGTGCTGCGACAAGGGCACGACGGACGCGATTCGAAGGGTCGTCGCGCACATGCAAGCGAACTCGTTCTCGCCGCGGTGCCGCGACGCGTGGACGTCGCTCGAGTGCAGCGTGTGCGATCCGCGAGCGGGGACGACGCCGCGAACCGCCGTGTGCGCGCACGCGTGCGACGCCATCTACCGCGCGTGCAAGGACGAGTACTTCTCCGAGGATTCGCTGCGGCGCCTCGTGCCGTGCCGCGCGTCGGACACGATCTGCACGAAGCTCAGCGACTGGGGCGGCGACGGCGGCGGCGGCGACGGCGAGGACGACGGGACGGGGACGAATGGGGACGAATGGGGCGGCGAGGCGATGTGTCGAGCCGCGGGGTACGACCCCGTGCGCGCGGGCGTCGTGCGCGCGCAGCCGGGGGGGTGGTGCTTCGAGCCCCCGGCCCCGGATGCGCACAGATCGGGGCCGGGGTCGGGGTCGGGGTCGTCCAAGAGCGACGGCGGCGGCGGGGCGTCGGGATCCAAGAAGGCGGGGAAAGGCGCGAAGAAGCGCGGCGGGAAAGCGGCGGACGCGGAGGACTACGCCGCGGGAACCCCCGCGTGGATGACGAAGGCGTACGTGTTGATCGCGGTCGCCGCCGCGTTGTACGTCGGGTTGAGAGCGGCGAGGCGCGGGGGGAGCGCGGGGGCGTCGCTGCGCGCGAGGCATAACGCGCGGATGGCGGCTGAGAGCAGAGCGGGACGCGCGCGCAACGTCGACAAGTATTTGTGACGTTTTTTCGATCTCATCACTCTCTCGCTCTCTCGCTCTCGGTAACGTCGAGACCGTCTCGCCACCGCGCGGCTACCCTACCCCTCCACGCGCATCGCCGCGGCGGCGGCTTCCAGCTCGCGGAGCTCCTTCACGAGCTCCTCTAAGGAGCGGTCGTCGACGTCGTCGAAGTTTAGCGTCGGCGGAGCGCCGCCGCCGCCGCCGCCGTCGTCGTCGCCGCCGCCCGCGTCCTCTTCCTCCGCCGCCGCCTCCGCCGCGTCCTCCTCCGTCTCCGCGCGCGCGGTCTCCCTAGGTTTAAGATATTTCGGCCTCGACCTCCCCTTCGGCGCCGCCGCGGTCAGCCCGCCGTCCTTTGGCTTCGCGACGGACGTGAGAAACGCCCCGCGCCTCTTCGCCGCCGCCGCCGCCGCCGCGCCGCCGGCCTCCGTCGTCGTCAACCGCCTCGCGACGCCGCCGCTCGTCCCTCGCCGCAGCGGCGGCTTCTTCGGCGGCGGCTTCGTGTTCCTCGGCGGCGACAGCACCGCCGCCTGCGCCTCGAGCGTCTTCGTCTGCCTCCAGTACTCGTTCGGTCTGATCGTGAGGTGCTCGCCAAAGTGCGCGTCTCTCGTGGTCATCGGGTCAGTCGTCGACGCCGCGTCGAGCAGCCGCGCGCGCATGCGCGCGCTGACGGCTTCGGTCAAGCGCGCGCGGTTCGCGATCCGCGTTCGCGGCGTCGCGGGCGTGTCGTCCGACGCGCCCGCGGGGACGCATCCGACCGCGACCAAGGTCTTGTCGTACTCGTGAGGACGCGCGAGCTCGTCCCCGGGCTCTTCGTACGACGGCGGCGAGGGCGGCGGGTTGAGCTCACGCTCCATGAACCCGTCTTGGTACTTCGTCTCTTTGTTGATGAGCTCGTTGATGCAGTGCTCGTCGCCGACGTCGCGTTTGCCGCGGGAGAAGCCCCCCATCGCGATCGGTCGTCGTCGTCGTCGTCTGGGGGGGGATGTATTTCCCGATTCGCGAATCACGCCGCGTCTTCTGGCCCTGGCGCGGGTTTAGGGTCGAGCGCTGAGGGTTCGCGACGTCGCGTCCGCGCGGCGTGGACGCGAGTGACGATGCGCGCGCGTGTATCGCGCGCGGGGCGTCACTTGCGCCGCGGAGAGTGTCCGGGGCACGGAGGGCGCGCGATCCTAAAACGAGAATCGTGGTCTCGCTGAACTTTCCGTCGTCGCGTCGGCGTCTCGGAAAAGCAAACGTGCGTCACTGCGATGAGCGCCGCGCACGCGCGACTCTCCGCGACCGCGAGCACCGCGCACCTCGCGCGATGCGCGCGCCGCCACGTCGCCGCCTCTGACGTCCTCGCGACCCCCCGCGCGCGCCTCGCGTCGTCGTCGCCGCGAGGCCGTCGCGTCGTCCACCGTTGGATCGCCGCCGCCGAATCGTCGTCGTCGTCGTCGTCGCCGTCGGAATCGTCCGCCGCCGCGACGGCGAACGACGACGCGGCCGCCGCCGCCGCCGCCGCCGCGCCCGCGCCCGCGAGCGACCGAGCGTCGTCCGACGCGGACGCGGCGGAGTCGCCGGAGATGCACGACAACCTCGCGAACATCTTCCTCAAGCGCGACGAAGAGGACTGGATCGGGCTGCTCGCGTCGTCCGCGCGATGGCCGACGCTACGCGCCGGATTCTTCGCGCGGCTCAAGACCCGCGCGACCGAGGAGGCGGACCCGGAGCAGATGCTGCGGCTGTCTCGACTGCTCCGGCTGCTTCGGGCGACGTCCGAGCGCGTCGAGAAGCACGAGGCGCTGCTCGCGGAGATGCGCGAGATGGACGAGGACCTGTGGGAGGGCGCGGTGACGAGCCGCCGAGACGAGTTCACGACGGAGTTCTTCCAGTTGATTCGATTCAAGCTCGAGGCGCTCATTCGCGACGAGGCCGCGAAGGGCGAGTCCGCGGCGCCGGGCGAGGCGACGAAAAAGGCGGCGAAGAAGAGAGGGTCGCTCACGAGCGCGGAGCGCGATGAGTTGAAAGCCGAGCGCGCGGGGTTGGAGAACGAGGAGCGAGCGGCGGAGAACGAACGCGACGCGTTGGCGCGACTCGCGTCCACGCTCCTGTCCATATGCGAGGCGTTCGATCTCGCGACGAAGGACCAGGGCGTCCTCGAAGAGGCCGCGGAGAACTTCAAGAAACTCCTGGAGGTGGAGACGCTGGAAGAGATGAACGACAAGATCGATCAGATGGCGGCGGAGCAGAGCTTAAACCCGGCGTTGGTGCTCACCGCGGCCAAGGCGTACATGTCCGTGAAGGAGTCGCCGTACGTGGAGGAAGAAGTCAAAGACGTCATGGCGCATCTGTACTTTAAGATGAAAGAGACGATGGGGCGGCAGCAGCCGAAGGTTGTGAGGATACTGAAGTACCTGCTGTCGATCGAGGACCCGAAGGACGTTAGGAACGGTCTCGAGGAGGCGTTCACCCCGGGGCCGGAGATCGAAATCGGCGACGAGGATTATTTGTTCTGCGAAGCCCCGGAGCTTCTGAGCACGATCGACGCGGTCTTGAAAGCGTACGATCAGCAGAAGGGGAAGGCGAACATCACCGGTCAAGCCGCGGAGCTGATGACCCCGGAGGTGATCGAGAAGATGAAGACGATCAAGTTTCAGATCGAGGCGCACTTCATGTGAGGACGTTCGTACTTCACAACAGTTGGAAAAAAAAATTCGTCGTTCGCGCGTGTCGACGTCTCGTGCGGCGTTCAGGTGGTGTCGTCGATGCTTAGACGGGCAGGCCGCTGACAGGGTGACCGTGGTGCGCGAGACTTTCCTTCGCCTCCGGGTCGCCCCCCCTCGCAGCCTTGCGCCAGTGTTCGACCGCCTTGTACATATCTTTATCGACGCCGAATCCTTTTTCGTAACAGTCGCCGACTTCGTTCGAGCACATAGGAACCTTGCGAGCGTCACCTTTGAGATAACATTCAAACGCCTTAGCGGGATTGATCTCCACGCCTTGGCCGTATTGGTAACAATTACCGAGAAAAAGGTTGGCGCTGTCATCGCCCGCGGCGAGAGCCTTCTCATAGCACTCAAACGCCTCCGGGTACTGCTCCATAAGGTCGTGGTGCCTGCTAAGAAACCAATAGTAACTCTGAGAGCTTGCACCCGTATCACGCAGCAGGCTCATGAAGTGCGCCTCAGGCAGCTTCGGTATGCCGTTGATTCCCAGGATGTACGTTATATGTTCGTGAAAACTCGTACACGTGGAACGGCAGCCGCTAAAGTCGAGAGACGCGGGCAGCGACTCGGCTTCCTTCGACGCTTTCAACCAGACCTTGCTCACCCGCGCGAGGGCGAGCCGGGTCGGGACGTCCGCGATCTTCGAGAGCACCGCGCACGCGACGTTCTCGTCGGGCTGAAAGGCGACGGGCTGAGGTCGGAGACTCGCCTCTTTCGTCGCGAGGAACGCCCTCGTCTCTTCCAGCTCCTTCTTCTTCGCTTTCAACTTCTTCAGCTTCTTCTTCACCTGCTTCAACTCTGCCTCCGTGGCTTCGAGTTCGGTCGGCACCACGCTCGACGCGTCGTCGCTCGGCGCGTCCGCGCGGCGGCGTTTGTGAGATCCAGTGCCCATGATCCCTCCGCGGCGGGGTTCGAGGTCAGGCGCGGCGCGCGCGCGCGACACTGACGGCGGGAGCCGGCCGCGCGGAAAAGTCGACGCCGCAGGTCAAGGTTATGGGCGGGAAATTCAAAAAAACGCCGAGCACACAGACGACTACGGCATCTCGCCGTCGCACAGTCGCCTCGCGCGCGGCGATACGCATCGTCCACCCACGTATCGGCGCCCGCGTCGCATCGCGATACGCGTGGATCGGCCGCCATGGTCGCCGCGTCCTCGCCCGCGGTGTACGAGCTCAGCGCTATCGTGCACGCGGGCCGACATTTCCCCAATGACTCGTCGTTCGAGGTGATCGGGTCGTTCGACGCGGAGGAGAGCACGACGGGCATCGCTCGCGCGTCGTCCTCGCCGACGTGGGGCGGGTCCCTCGTCTGGCGCCGCGACGCGGAGCAGATCAGGGTCCTGCAGTCGCAGGGCGCGAAGCTCAAGCTCACGGGTGCGCGACGCGACGCGACGGCTCGTGGCATCATTTCCTCTCCCCTTCCCGTCGCGCTCGCTCGCTCGCGCGTCGTCGCGTCGTCGCCTCCCCGCCGTCCCGTCGTCCGTCGACTGACCGCGCCCCCTCCCCCTCTCTCCCGCCCCGCTTCCTCCCGCCAGTCATGGACGGCGAGCGCCGCCTCGGATGGGCGGTCGTCGACGTCCGCACGATGAAGCAGGCGGCGTCGATCCACGCCCCCGACGGCGAGACCCCGGGGACGTGGCTCGCGCTGTCGTCGCCGTCGTTTAAGGGCGAGAAGGGCCAGACCGCGCCGGAGATTCGCGTCTTCGCCGCGCTCCGGGAGACGCAACCGCTCCCGGACGGCGGGCACAGCCCGCGCGCGAGCGTGAACGCGCGCGCCGCGCGCGTTACCAACGCTGACGCGGGCGTGGAACGATCCGCGGAGGCGGCGAGAGCCGACGCGTCGTTCCTCGCCGGCGTCTCCGCCGGCGGCATCGGTGCGTTCGCGAAGAACGACCGCGCCGCCGCGGACGAGAACGCGCCGCCGGCGACGACGAAAGAAGTGCTGCACCTCTTCTCCCTGTGCTGTGACGTTCGCAGCTTCAAGAGCACGCGACGGATGCCGTTCCCGACGGCGTCCGTCGTCGTGAAACTCACGCTTCCCGCCGCGCTGCTGGACGCCGTCGAGCTCGGCGGACGCACGCACGCGGCGGTGCAGCACCCGGTGCGGACGAACCCGCCCGCGCAGGTGTCGCGCGCGTCCGAGGTGACGCTTCAGAACGGAAGCGGCGTGGTGGACTTTGGCGCGGGCGTCATGGCGCTCGCGACGGCGCTCGCGACGGGCCCGAGGTTACTCGCGGAGGTGTGGCACAAAGACAAGTACGAGGACGACACGCTGCTGGGGACCGCGCACGTCTCGCTCGCGCCGCTGCTTCAAGAGCCCGTGCTGGATGGGTACGCGCCGGTCATCGCGAGCGGCGCGAGCGGCGAGGCTGGCGCGCCGAAGTCGTCGAACGCGGCGAACCCGGAGACGATCAAGGTTGGCGAGCTCCGCATGGTGCTGTCGCTCGCGGAGAAGGGACCGCTGCCGCTGTGGGCGACGAAGATGTCCGGGTACGACCGGTTCCCGCTGTCGCAGTCCGCGGAGGCGCCGACGAGGCCGCTCGGCGCGGGCGGGTACGTCGGCGCGCCGGTGACGAACTCGCTGAGGAACTCTTTAGAGCGGATCGACGAGGCGGATGCCGCGCGCGAACACGTTCGCAAGCAAAACATGACGGTGATGCAAGCGTTGAAGTCCTCGTTCGCGGGCGCGTCCGCGGGGATCGGCCCGGGCGGCGGCGGCGGCGAGGGAGGGTACACGGAGCACGAGGCGCACGCGCACGCGCACGCGGCGGCGGCGCACGCGCCCCCGGGGGCGACCGCGAACATGGCGCACGGCGTCGGAGAGAGCGTGCAATCCATGGACGGCGCGGGTTTACGCAAAGGGAAGGAGTACGCCGTCGCGTGGGAGCTCGAGGTGTGGAAGCAGTCGCAGGAGGCGAAGTGGACGGCGAACATGCGCGCGAAAGAGGCGGAGCGGATGGCTGCTCTGGAAGGGGAGTGGCGTCGACGCGAGGCGCAGAGAGAGGCGGAGCACCGCAGGGCGAAGGAGGACTGCTCGAATCTCGAGAAGAAGCTCTCGGCGGCGCTGTCCACGGTGGAGGAACGCGAGAGGAGGCTCGTCGCCGCGGAGGAGTCGCTGTCCGTGCGCAGAGAAGCGGAGCGACGCGAGCTCGCGCAGCGCATGAGCGAGGCCCAGCACGCGGTCAGGCGTCTGCAGCAAGAGTGCGAGCACCAGCTCGACATGGAGAAGGGTCGGAGCAAAGACGTCGAGCGGCAGAAAGCCGCGCTCGAGGAACGCGTCGAGGAAGCGAACGCGCGCGCGGCCGCGGTCGAGAGAGCGTTTCACGGGTACAAGCGCGCGCACTTGGAGTCGTCCGAGGCGACGCTTCACGCGGAGATCGCGCGGTTGCAAACGCAGCGCGCGGACGCGGAGGCTGCGGCGGCGGAGGCGATCAAGTCCCGGGACCGTTTCAAGACGCAAATTCAAAAGATGGCGAAGCAGGTCGTCGCGCTCGAGCGCGAGCGGACGTACCTTCGCGCGGCCGTCGCGCACGTCGGCGGCGACGTCGGTGGCGACCGCGGCGGCGGCGGCGGCGGCGGCGTCCGCGCGAAGGTGTTCAAGGCCCCGAAGCCGGCGCCCAGCGGCGCGGACTTCATGTCCGACCTCTTCGGCGTCGGCGGCTCGTTCGACGCGAAGACGACGGGGGGTCCGCAGATGATGTCCGTCGCCGCGGGCGTCGCCGCCGCCGGCGCGGGCGCGGACGACGACTTCCTCGCGGACTTCCGGAGCAGCATCGCGAAGCTGGAACGCGAGGCGCGCGCGGCGGAGGGCGGCGGCGGCGGCGGCGGGATCCAAGGGTTGTCCCCCGTGGACGAGGGTGAAAAGACGCGACGGACGAGCGCGACCCGCCGCGAGCGCGACGACGACGACGACGACGACGACGACGTGCGCGCGTCCTTCGACGACGGCGAGCGGCCGGCGTGGAGGCCCGCGGGGAGCCCGCTGCGGAACCGTCACGCCGCGGACGAGCGCCCGCCGCCGCGGTCGCCGATGAAATCCCCCCCCGGAAAACCGCCGCTGTCGCCGATCAAACGCGCGGCGGCGCCGACGCGTCCGCCGCGGTCGCCGCCGCCCGCGCGCGCGTCCGAGTCCGCGCTGTCGCAGCTGCGCTCGAAGCGCGTGGAAGCGCGCGCGGCCGCGGGTCTGGACCGCGACCCGCCGCGGCTCGTCGAGCGCAGCTGGAGCGCGGACGACAACGAAGGGTTGAAGGAGCTGTTCGCGTCCGCGACGGAGTACGAGCGCGAAGAAGCCGCGAGGGACGCGGCGGCGGCGACGGCGCGACCGAAGGACGCCGAGTCCGAGGACGACGACTCCGCGACGGACCGCTCAACCGCGGGCGATCGATCGGTGCCCGAGAGCATCGCGTCTTCGGATTCGGAGACGTCCGCGGCGCCGGCGCCCGCGCCTCTTCCGCCGAAACCCCCGCGCGGGCCGGTCACCGCGGCGACGCTCGCGGAGAAGCGAGCGCTCGAGAAGGAGGTTCGCAGGCTCGTCGCGGAGAGAGCGGAGTTGATGGGGACCGGAGCGTACTCGTCCAGCGATCGCGTCATCGCGCTCATCGACGAGAAGATCACGGAGATCACGCGACGCGTCGCGCGCGGATGAGAGAGGCTTGTACATAGCGGAGATAATAAATTATAACCTTTCACGACGCGGAGGACCACCCCGCGCGGTGGCGCCTTAACCCCCCCCCCCTCGCGCGCTCCTCCGCCCCCCTCCTCTCAAACTCCAACCTCATCTGCTTCCCCATGATCTGCATCAGTCGATCCCTCGCGCGCGGCGTCAGCTGATCCTCAAACGCGGTCAGCCCCGCCAGGAGCCAGTCCGGATACGAGTCGTGGACGCATCGCAGCGCCGTCGAAAACGTCAACGGCGGCCACGTCGCGTTGAACGCCACCCACGCCCACCCCAACGGCGAGAGCATCAGCGCGCCTCGCATCGCGATCGCAGTGAGGAGGTACTGCGCCGCGCCGAGCGTCACGTACGCCGCGCCCATGACCTGGACGAGGACGCCGCCGATGGAGACGTACGCGTCGTCGTGCGTGAATCGAAACGCGCACATGCCGAACCCGACGGCGACGGAGGTCATGCCGTTCCGGACCCAGTTCAGGTACTGGTTCTCGTGCGCCATGTACATCGACCACGCCGCGCGCTCGACGTCGGCCGGGAGAGGCCCTTCGTGCGTTTTATGGTTCTGGCCGCCCGACGCCGTTCCCCGGGGGCTGGACGACGACGACGACGTCGCGGCGGGCTGGCGTCGATGAAGCGCGCTCTTGTCGACGCTCGCGCCCGCGGCGGTCGCGGGCGACTTCGGCGTCGCCTTCGACGCTTCCTCGGCGCGCGCGGGCGGTCGCGTCCAGACCTCCGGCGGCTTCGCCTCCGCGGCGAAGCCGCGTTTCGGGGACGACGCCGTCGCCGTCCTCGGTCGATTCAGCGGCGAAGCGACGGCGTTCGACCGCATCTCGACCGCTCGCGTCGCGCTCGGCGCGATCGTCGGACCGACGCGCGTCGCCCGCGTCACCTCGCGCGCGACCGCACGGGACGCTCGTCGGAGCATCATCGCGACGTGGAGAGCGACGTCACCGCGGCGACGCGTCCTCTCGGGTGGACGCCTCGCGGTGGCGCGCGAGGACGCCTGCGCGTCGCCTCCGTCGGTCTGCGACGCGCGCTTCAAACGTCGTCGGACGACGCACGGGCGGAGCAGTGGATCAAGCGCGACGCACAGAAGAGAGCCTCCAAGAGCACATTCGCGCGCGCTTCCGCACGCCCCGACGCGACCGCGCGCCGTCCTCGGCGTCCGATCACCATGGGGATGTTCGGATCCAGCAAGAAGAAGAAGATCCTCGCCGCGGCGAGGCTTCAGATGATCGCGGACCAGGCCGCTCGCGAGCGCGAGGAGGAGGAAGCGCGTCGGAATAATGACGCGGCCAGCGCGCGATCCGAGGAAACCCCGCGCGAGGAGGTGAACTCGAAGCTGTTCGTCGCCCCCAAGGTGCGCGCCCCGCCCGCGCGATTGATTCCTCTCCCTCGCGTCGACGCGTCCGTCGCGCGCCGTTCGCGCGCGCGATCGTCGAGGGAAGAACCCGCCGCGCGATGGACGGCGGTCGCGCCATCCATCGTCCTCCGAATCGGGAAACGAGCAGGGCGCGCGCGCGCGATCGAGAATTCTAATTCTTCGCCCCTCCGTCCGCGAACCCTCCGCCGCCGCCCCTCCGTCCCCTAAACCCCCCCGTCTCGACCCCGCGCGCCGCGACACTCGAAGCTGATCCCCGACCCCCCCCCCTCCGCGCCCGCGCGCCATCCCCGCGCCATCCCCGCGCAGGCGATCAGGTCCGCCATCGTCGTCGACGACGAGAAGGGCTGGACCTTCCCCGTCGCGTCGCTCGTCGTGCACAATCCGACGTCGGGCGCGTTGATCTTCAAGGTGAAGGCGCTGCACGCGTCCGAGGTGTTCGTGAAGCCGTGCGTCGGCGTCCTCGCGCCCGGGGAGGAGAGAGAGCTGAAGATCACGCCCAAGCCGGCGCCGGACGCGACGCAGAACGGCCACCGGTCCAACGAGCTGGCGGTGCTCTCGTGCGCGTCCGAATCCCCCGTCGTCGACCCGGAGCGCCCGTGGCCGTCGGACAAACCGTTAGACCCAACGAAGGTGAAGACGGACAAGGTGTCCATCTCGTACGACTCGAGCGCCTCCGTGCAGTTTCGGCTCGCGGTGAACCGCCTGGAGACGCACAAGAAGAGCTCCAGCGAGGGGTTGCTCGCGCAGGCGAAGCACTTCGTCGGCAACGCCGAGGAGAAGCTCAAGGCGGCGAAAGACCAGCAGGTGATGTCCCTCACCGCGGCGATGTTCACGTCCAAGCTCGCGAACCGACACGTGCGGCAGACGCACGCGGCGTTGAAGTGCGCCGCGGTGTGGCGCGCGCTCACCGCGGCGAGGCGGGCGGCGCGGAGGGCGCTCATCGCGACCAACGAGAAGCACGCGATCGACGCGGAGATCGCCAAGGAGGCGTGCGCGGACGCGGTGAAGCGCGCGCGCGCCAAGACGGACGACGCGTGCGCCGCGCTCGAGGAGACCAAGGGAAAGCTCGAGATCGAGAGAGCGAGAGCGGACGCGTCGGACGCGGAGGCGGCGCGCGCCGAGGCGGAGACGGAGACGGCGCGCGCCGAGACGGAGCGATGCAAGCGCGAGGCTGAACGCGCGCGCGCCGAGGCGGCGGCGCAGGACACGGTCGCGACGTCCGCGTCCGCGGCGGCGAACAGCGCGACGGAGCGCGCCGCGGTCGCGAACGCGGCGAGGGATCGCGCGGAGGCGAAGTCCGCGCTGTTGGAATCCGTCGTGTCGAAGCTGACGGATTCGTGCGACGCGTTGAAGGAGGAGCTCGCGGCGACCGAGGACGCGCTCGAGAAGAAGACGACGGAGTCCGCGTCGAGGGCGAAAGAGATGGCGGCGCTCGACGCGCAGCTGCATCGGCTCAGCGGCAGGCTCACGGCGATGCATAAGAACCGAGACGCGATCATGGAGCGTTTGGTGTTCACGTGGGATTTGTACGACACCGAGTCGGCGTTTACGCGTTGGAAAGACGCCGCGGAACGGAAGAAAGAACTCCGCGCGATGGAACACAGGGCGACGATCGCGGAGAGCGAACTCCTCGACGCGCGGGCGAAGATATCGGTCCAGGACACCGTCCGCGCGGCCGCGGTCGCGACCGCGCGCAGGGAGTCCGCCGCCGCGGTGGAGCTCGCGAACAGCACGCGCGTCGCCGCCGCCGAGCGCGACTACGAAGCCGTGCGCGCCGAACTTCGCGCGGCGAGGGACGAAGTGCGAGAGATGCAAGAGGCGCTGATGAAGCTCCAGGGCGCGAAAGTCTCGAACGTGATGCAAAACTTGACGCGGCAGCAGGACCAGCTCAGCGCGCTGAAGGGGAAGAGCGCGGAGGAGAAGCGCGCGGCGATTTTGGCCGCCGCCGCGGGGGTTCGATCGCAGTCGTCCACGCGCGCGCCGTCGCGCGCGGGCAGCGTCCGCGGGGACGATTCGATTCGCGGGCATCACGGCGGATCGGTCGCGGGGATGTCCACCGGTCGACTGAACGGCGACCGCGCCGCGTCTCCGGTCGGGTCCGATCGCGTCTCGCCGATGCAAGCCGCGGTGGCGGGGCTTCCGCGATTCGACGATCGAAACGAGTGGGGCGCGTCGGCGGCGACGCCGACTGGGGGCATCGAGAGCGCGCATCAGCGCGCGGCGTTGATTCTCTCGAACAAAAAAACCCCGTCGAGGACGGGCACGGGCACGGCGACGCCGGTGAACGGGTCCGAGTCGCCGCTCACCGGGACCGCGGCGCTGTTCGCGCACGCCGCGGCGTCGGCGAAGCGCGGCGACGCCGCCGCGGCGCCGCCAAACTTTTTCGGCGGCGGCGGCGCGTCCGCGGCGGAGGACGCGAACGTCGCGGCGGCCGCGAAGGCGACGCCCGCGCCGGACCCGTGGGCGACGCCGTTGAAGGCGTGAGTGAGTGATGAGGTATTTCATCGTTAAATGTAATGATATCGTACGACGTACGCGCGCGTGATCGTTCGGTGGCGCGACGGATGCGTTGGATATTATTCTCGTTTTGTCGTCCGAGATACGATAGGGGTCGCGGGGTCGGATCTTGGCGAATCGCGCGGGGGGAAATGCGCGCGGGGCGCCCAGGACGTCGACGTAAACTTCTTCTCTTGACTGGGGGTCTTTTTTGTTGTGACGCAAACTAAAGGTTTGTCCGTGGAATCGCGGCATTTTACGCATCACATCGCGCGCGCGACGCGGGAGCAACGCGCGCGGATTCGAGATCAGTCCTGTTGCGGACAGGGGATAGAGAGACGTGTGGGATTATCGCGATTCATGACGAGTTGGTTCGGACACGCGTTCGGGACGAGAGGGGTACGATGATGGCGCGATGACGACGACGTCGGTTGAAAGGAATTACATTACATATCGCGCGTTTCTAGCGTTCGTGTTGACGTCTTAGACGTCATCGCTCCCCCCCGGCTGCGCGGTGTGTCCTGTCCTCCCAACTCCTTTTATATGAATTGCCCAATTCGATTAATCGTCTGTCGCGATCGACGAACGATCACCCGCGCGCGATGTCATGCAGAACGCTTACTTCTTGTAAGACGCCTTCTTCGCGTCGGAGAGCTTCTTCCACTCCTCGCCGAGCTTCTTGCCGACCTCGCCGAAGGTGAACTTCGGGTTCGCGGCGACGATCTTGGGGCGCATCTCCTTGCAGAAGAGCATGTAGGGGCCCGGGGCGCGCTTCGGCTTGTCCTTCTTGTCAACCTTCGCCTTCTTGGCGGCCTTCTTCGGGGACTTGGAGATGACCTTCTTCGCCTTCGGCGCAGCCTTGGTAGCCTTCTTGGGAGCCATGTTAGAAAAAGATGTGATGTGACGGTGAGGTCGGGGCGTGGAGGAATGAGCGCATTAACGCGTGAGACAGTGTTTTCACGCGGTTTGGTGACACGAGGGAAATTGGCAAATCGGTACGTACGTTCCGAGCGTACTCACTCCAATTGCTCATAGGACGTTTCACATTTTCGATCCGTTTTTTTGCGTTTCCAATTTTCCAATTTCTCGTTCAGGCGGGAATTTCGCGAGCGTCGCGTCTAATAACACTGTTCGAAAACGTTCTCTCGGCTTCTTCTCTAAAAGTTCACAGTCGCTCAACCTCTCCCTCACGCCCCTCCCACCGTCGTCACCCCGAGCCACCGCAGCGGCTTCCTCCCCGTCCGCGTCACGATGTCCTCCTCCGAGTCCGAGTCCTCGACGTCGGTCTCGTCCGGGTCCGCGCGCGGCGGTTTCGCCGTCGTCGCCGCCGCCGCCGCCGCCGCCGCCGCCGCCGTCGCCGGCGACGTGTCGACGCTCGACCGCCTCCCCTTCGTAGCCGCGTGCTTACGAACGACTCGGATCTCCTTCGCCGCGCTCATCAGCGCGTCGTCTCTCGTCTCCGTCGTCTCGGTCGTCTCGATCGTCTCGATCGCGTCGACGCGCCGCGCGTCCTCCTCCGCGCGCCTCGCGCTCTTCGCGCGCGCAGACGGCGCGCGCGTCGCGCGTTCGCCGCCGCTCGCGTCGCCGCCGCCGACGTCGACGCCGACGCCGACGCCGACGCCGCCGGTCGACGCCAGACGAATCTCGATCGCGCGTTCCAGCCACTGACGGTTGTTGCTCGTCGTGGTTCGCTCGAACACGACCGCGTAGAGGTTCTTCAGGTCGCGGTACGACATCTCGGAGACCTTCGTCGTCGCGCCCGGGGGCGGGGGGCGCGTCGCCGTCGCCGCCGCCGCGGAGGCGGGTTTCGCGCGCGGCGTTCGCGGCCGCGTCGTCGTCGTCGTCGTCGTCGTCGTCGTCGTCGTCGAGGGCTCCGCGCCCTCCCTCTCGGGATCGCCGCGCGGCGGGTCCGTCGGCGGCGGCGACGCGAGATCCCGGGGCGCGGGTCCGCGCCGCGCGGGACGGACCTCCGCGACCGCGCCGGCGACCGCGGCTTTCTTCGCTCGCTTCGACCTCTCCGGCGCGCTTCTTCCCGTCTTCGCGAGGTTTTTGTACGCGCCCTTCGCGAGCCGCGCGCGTCGCCGCGGTCGCTTCCCCGGCGTCGGAATCGCGTCGTCGTCCTCTTCCTCCTCGATCGCCCTCCTCGATCGCGGAGGCGCCGGCGCGGGTTCCTCGGAGGGAGGGCGCGGCGGCGGCGGCGGCGGCGGCGGCGGCGGCGGCGGCGAGACCGTCTCCAGGGCTCGCACGTCAGCGGCGAGCCGCGCGAGAAACGGGCCGCGCGAGGGGGGCGCGAGTCGCGGCTCGCTCCCCGAGGCGCGCGCCGCGGCTCGTCGCGCGGCGTCCTCCGTCGCGTCGATCACGGTGACGACGTGCATCGCGCTCGCGCCCGGGCGGTCTTCCGCGGGCGAGAGCGCGGCTGCCGACGTGCGCGTGCGTGGCGGCGTCGTGGCTTTTGAGTCCGCCGCGCGGGAAAGCGAGCGAGAAGAGGAGTTGCACTCGCACTCTCTGCTCTGCGCGACAAAAACCGACGTCGAGGGGCGGGCGCGCGCAGTGCGCCCCGCGCGCGACACCCCCCGCGCGCGCGTTCGGATGACCGTCCGTCGCGGCGCCGGCGGCGGCGCGCGGCGGCGCCCCGGGCGCGTCCGCGCGATCGCGACGCTCCTCGTCCTCGTCCTCCTCGCGCGCGTCGTCCCCGCGATCGGCGCGGAGGCGGAGTCGGCACGAGAGGGCGCGACCGCGCGTCGCGCGTCTCGACGGATGAACGACGCCGACGCGCGCGTCGACGTCGGCGCCGCCGCGCCGCGATCGAAGGCGGCGACGCGCGCGAAGGTGCGCGTCTCTCGCCCTCGCGCGCCGTTGGAGCCGCCGCCGCGCGTCTTCGCCTCAGATCTCGCGTCCGATCATCGAACGTCGGTCGCGCGCTTCCCTTCCCTCTCTCCTCTCAGCAACACTCCGTCGTTCGCCATCCCATCGTCGCAGGGCGCGTCCTCGAAGGAAACGCGCGCGTCCGCACGATCGTTCCTGCGCGACGGCGGCCACGACACCCCGCTCGTGATCCCGATGGAGGTGAACGTCGTCCTCGTCGGCATGCGCGCGGACGGCGGCCTCGCGTACGCGCTCGACGAGGCGAAACTGAGGTCGTTTCTTCACGCGTCGTTCGCGTCGTTCCGTCCGTCGTCGATGGCGACGGGGAAGGAGCTCGAGGTGGAGGTGGAGTTGAAGTATAACGTTCAGCACGCGAGCGCGTCGCACGTCCGCGCGATCGAGGGCGCGGTGCGAGCGGGGATGCGTCGCGTCTCGGACGAGTCGCCGCCGCGCGAGTGGACCGAACGCGGCGGCGGCGGCGGCGCGGGCGGCGGAGCATGGCGCGCGTACGAGGTGGAAGCCGCCGGCGACGTCGAGGACGCGATCGCGAGGGTGTACGACGACCTGTTCGGTGACCCTAAACTCTCGCGCAGAGTCGAGCCCGTGGCGCTCTTCGTGGTGTCCCTGGACAAGCCGCGACTGGACCCGGGCGGCGGCGCCGCGTCCGCGTCGGCGTCGAGGAAACCCCCCGAGTCGCTCACGCCCGACGAGCTGCGCGATTCCGAGGGCGGGTACGTGTACCGGTACCGGTACATGGGCTCGGAGGGCGCGACCGCGGCGTGGTTGGGGAGAGGGCGGTACGCCGTGCTCGACTTGAGCGCGGGGCCGTGTTCGCTCGCGCGAATCGGCGGCGGCGACGGCGAACGCTTCGACGGCGATTCGACGGAGGACGCCGAGGGCGTCGCCGTGGGGTGGGCGCTTCCGCGGCTCGCGCCGACGTTCTTGCCGTACGCGAGGTACGCCGCGTCGACGCGCGGCGCGCACGACGTGGAGGACCTCAAGAAGCGACGCGACGCCGCGATGTTCGGTCGCTTATCCGCGCTCGTCGTGTCCGCGACGCGGCACCTCCTCGCGCCGGACGTCAAAGTAGAGACGCTGGATCACGCGGAGAGGGTGTTCGTGCCCGTCGTCGCGCTGAGGGACCACGCGCGATTCGCGCCGCTGCACGCGAGCGCGGGTGCGCGCGCGTTAGACCTCGAGACGTTGAAGGCGGAGGCGTCCAAGCTGCTGCAACCGAGGCAGAGCCTCTCCGTCGTGACCGGGACGCACAACCTCCACGAGCACGAACACCTCGCGGCGGCGGTGCTTCGCGCGCGGCGGACGCGCTCCGTGGCGGACCGAAGAAACGCGGGGGTCGGCCCCGGGCACGGGCACACGTACCACGCGAGCGCGCGATCGCGCATCGACGCCTCCGCGTTGTTGCGAGAGTTTCGCGCCTCCGCGGACCTGCTGACGTCCGGTCTCATCGGCGCGGGGACGGACCCTTCCCCGGACGAGAACGACTTTTTGACCGAGGCGGCGCTCGCGACGTACGCCGGGACGTGGAACACCACCGCGCGCCGCGGGACGAGGATCCTGCCGCTGTACCTCCTGAGCCTCTCCGGGTTACCCCCGGGGGTGTTACTCGACGGCGAGAGCCTCGTCGCCGCGGACGAGGACCTCGTGATCGTGCTTCAGTCCGTCGGCGAGTCAACTTCCGACGCGTCCCCGGGCGCGGACGCGAAGGGCGCGTGGCGCCGCGACGCGGACGCGGAGCTCGAAGCCGCCGCCGCGGAGCTCGCCGCGGAGGCGGCGGATCAGGCGGATCGCCTGCCGCGCGACGACCCGAGACGAGCGTCGTTCGCCGCCGCCGCATCAGCCGCCGCCGCGCGCGTCGCCGAGGCTGGCGCGGGGCACCGCGAGCACGTCCCGCTGCGGTTCACGTCCCAGGGGAGACCGGTTCTCGCGCGACCGGGGGAGCCGACGCGGCACGCCGTCGCGGGGCTCGCCGTCGCGCTGAGCGGGCTCGCGTCGCCGTCCGAGCGCTTCTCGCGGACGCGTTTCGCGCGCGTGGAGAATTGGTTGTGGGCGGTCGGTCACCACCCGTTCGGACCGTTCACGAACTGCGCGACGCTGTCGGACGCGCTCGTGGACGTCGCGCGTCGGAACGCGATCATCTCGAGGCTAGACGCGTCGATGCGCGCGGTTCGAAGCGCGCTGGAGGACGTCGAGGCGTTCGCGGAAGAGTACCTCTCCGAGCCGTTCGGAGACCTCGGCACGGCGCCGGCGGCGGACTCGGCGGCCTCGGCGTCCTCGGCGGCGTCGCCTCCCGCGCGTCGCGAACCGCGCGCGCGCGCGAACACGTGGCTCGACGCGCTGTACCGCGACCCGGACCGCGCCAACGTCCCCCCGCTGCCGCAGTCCGTCGTCGCCGCCGTCGAGGCGCGGATGGAGACGTTCGAGGACGACTTCGCCGCCGTCGGCGCGACGTTGTACTCGCTGGATCTCGAACGTGCGCACGAGATGAGCACGTCGCTGCTCGTGGACGCGCGCGCGTTCGCGGCGTACGTCGCGGAGGAGACGTCGAAGGCGCGGGACGATCTGAGCTGCTGCGGGGTGGAGTACGCGAGGACGGACGCGCGCGCGGCGGCGGCGGGGGAGGGGGGTGAGGGGGTCGGCGGCGCGGCGACGACGCTCGCGGTTTTTTTAGCCGCCGGCGCCGCGTGGTGGCGCGTGTTCGGCGCTCGCGGGGGACGCGCGGGGAGGTTCGGCGCGACGCGCGCGTCGATGCCGGCGTTGAGGCGGCGCGGCGGGGGAGGAAAGCGCGTCGACTGAGGAGGACGTCGCTTCAAGTCGTTAATATTAGTCTGCGCTCGCGTCTAAACGAGTGAACACTTCGCAGCCGCCTCCGTCTTCCTCGCTTCTGACCCCCACGGTGTGTTCAAACTGCGCGGACAACCCCCCGTCAGCGGTGACGACCGTCCAGCCGTCTTTCAACACCCTCGTCGCGACCCCTTTCTCGTTCGCCATGGGTTCGATCGTGAAGAACATCCCCGGTTTCAACAGCACGCCGCGACCCTCCGCGCCCGCGCCGTGACGGATGTGCGGCGGCGCGTGGAACTTCCGACCGATCCCGTGCGCGGCGTACTTGTTCACGACCGCGTACCCGTGCCTCTCCAAGTGCCGCCGAATCGGCACCACGACGTCGCCCATCCTTCGCCCCGGGCCGCAACGCGAGACGCCGATCTCCAGCGATTCTCTGGTGACGTTCACGAGCTGCGCCGCCGCCTCCGACGCCTTCTCCTCGCCTCCCACGATGAACGTCCGACTCGTGTCCCCGTGCCACCCGTCCACGATCACGGTCACGTCCACGTTCACGATGTCGCCGTCCCGCAGCGTCACGTCTTCGCTCGGTATCCCGTGGCACACGACGTCGTTCACGCTCACGCACGTGGAGTGTTTATACCCGCGGTAGCCGACGGTGGCGGCGACGGCGCCGTTTTCCGCGACGAACGCCGCGGCGACGCGGTCGATCTCCGCGGTCGTCGTCCCCGAGATCACGCGCGGCTCGACGTGCGCGAGCGTCCTCGCGGCCAGGGAACCCGCCGCGCGCATCCCCGCGAAGTCTTCCGGGCGGTGGATCGGGACGCGCGTCAGCGAGCTGAAGTACCGCGCGGACATCGCGAGGAACGCGACGAGGAGAAGGTCCTCGGGGCCCGGCCTGAGCGACCTCCACAGTCGCCGCGATTTCGACGTCGGCGGCGGCGCGTCGCGGAGCTTCTTCGCCTTCTCCGCGGCGTGTTTCCGCTTGCGCTGCTTCAGCTCCCCCATGTCGCGTCGCCCGCGCGCGACGGAGGGGCGCGGCGGAGTGTGATCCGATCTGATCTAAGTTGTCGTCGAGGCGAAGTGTTCCTGTCTGTTGTTAAATCGCAGCAGCTAATCCCGCGACGCCTCGCCCGTCCCGGGCCACACCACCCGCCGCGCGTGCGCGATCGCGATCGGCAGCGCGACGCACTTCCCCGCCATCGCCACCGCCATCCCCCCCTCCGCTATCCTCCGCGCCCTGTCGTACTGACTGTTCGAGTACTTGCTCTCGATGACCTCTCGCGTCTTCGTCATCACCCAGGCGTCGACGCCGACGGCGAAACACAAGACGAAGACGTGACCGAGCTGCAGCAACGTCGCGGTCTTCTTGTCGCTCCCCAAGACGCCCTTGCCGCCCTGAAGCGCCGCGATCGCGGTGAGCGTCGCGACCGGGAGGTGGTGCTGCGGCGCGCTCCACTGCCCGGCGCTCTCCCAGAACTGCGCTATGAGTCCGCCTATAAACATCACGAGCACGCAGACCATGAGCCATCCCGCGGTGGCTCGCCCGTCCGCGACAGCGGCCGCGTGCCGCGCGGTCCACGCGCCGATCTCGCCGCCGCCGGTCGTCGCCGCCCATCTCGATCTCGTCCCGGCTTTGAGGAGGACGGAGGAGAGATCGAGACGGCCGCGGGCGGACGCGCGCGCGGCGCCGCCGGTCCCGGACGACGACGCGTTCGCCGCCGCCGCGCGCGCGCGGCGGCTCTGTCCCCGCGCGCCGCCGCCGCCGCGCAACGGCGTCGTGTCTCTCTCGTCGTCGTCCGCGGCGGCGTAGTTGTACCCCCCGGCGGCGCCGCGTCGCGCCATCTCGACGTCGTCGTGGAATGCGTCGTCCGCGTCCACGACTTTCCCCAGCGCGTCCGCGATGATGCTCGCGGACGACGGCCCTCGATCTCGCCGCGCGCGATCCGGCGGCAGGTGCGGTCGCGAGGGTTTCTCCCCGCTCCCGCGCGCGGTGACGTCGCCCCAGCCCGCTTTGGAGCGCACGGTTCGCGACCGGACGCGCGCGTCGTCGTCGCCCGCGCCCGCGCCCGCGCCCGCGTCGGTCGTCGTCGTCGTCGTCGCCGGCGGCGCGCGTCTCAGGAAGTCCCCGGTCCTCGTCCCGCCGTCGCCGCGGTCGGAGTCGGAGTAGAGCGCGGACGAGCCGCTGTCGGAGCCGCCGTCGTCGGACCACCGCGCGCGCGACATCGCGCGTCGTCGCGTGGGGAGGAGACGAGACGACGGGTGGGCGCTTCGAGAGCGGCGAACGCGGGGTCGGGACGAGGGCGGTCGCGCGGCGCGGCCGCGAGATGGGACGCGCCCTCTCGAACGTGCCGACTTCGTTCGCGCGCCGCTGCGCTGCGCGCTGGAAGGCGAAGGGCAGGGCCAGATGTTCAGTTTCAAAAGTCGTCGTCGTCCGTGCACGTTCGCGGTCCCCCTCACTGCGGCGTGACGCGGCGGACGGGGGCCGCCCGCGCGTATCGACGGCATGGACGACGGCATGCTGGCGCGTCTCTCTCCGTCCTCCTCGCGCGCGATCGGCGGAGCGTCGATCGACGCGACGTCCTCGCGTCGCGCGCTCGAAATCGTGTTTTTTTTTTCTTCCTCCTCTGAGTGAGATCTATCTCTTCGCTGATCGTCGTCCCGCCGCGTCGTCCCGCCGTCCCCGCAGTTCGAGGAGGACTTCGAGAAGGAGGTCAAGGTCGTCGTCGTCGGGAACGGCGGCGTCGGGAAGACGTCCATGATCCGAAGGTACTGCCGCGGCGTCTTCACGGAGGACTACAAGAAGACCATCGGCGTGGACTTCCTCGAGAAGGTCTCGTACATCGAATCCGTGGGCGAGGACGTGCGACTGATGATCTGGGACACCGCGGGCCAGGAAGAATTCGACACCATCACGCGGTCGTACTACCGCGGCGCCGGCGCCGCGGTCATCGTCTTCTCCACCACAGACCGCGCGTCGTTCGACGCGGTGCGATCGTGGAAGCAGAAGCTGAGCGAAGAGGTCGGCGACGACGTCGCGACGTGCGTCGTGCAAAACAAGGGCGCGTCCCATCTCACGCCGGTCCCCGTACGACCGCGTCGGCGTGGCGCACGCCGTTCCTCGAGGACTTTCCCCGGCACACATCTCTCCGCCCAGGGTCCCTCGCTTTCAATACCAGACCCTATGACGCCTTTCAACTTCAACTGACGCCTTTCAACTCCACCCCGAACGGCTCGAAGTGGACCTCGTCGGCGACGAGGCGTGCGCTGTGGAGCCGGGCGAGGCGGAGACGCTCGCGAGAGAGCTCGGCGTGAAGTTCTTCCGCGCGTGCGTGAAGGAAAACTTCAACGTGGACAACGTGTTCGACTACCTCGTCGATCAGTGGAGCAAAGGGTCGAATAAGGCGCAGCCGGCGATGGACATTCGCGAGCTCGCGGCGGAGTCCGCCGCGGGCGGCGGACGCGTCCCCGCGGCGGCGGCGGGGTCGGCGGCGGCGGGGGGGGAAGATGGAACGTCAACCGTCGCCGGGAAGAGGGGCGAGGAGGCGGGAGGGAGGGCGTTCATGCTCGAGAAGCCGAACACGGAGCGCACGGGGGGGAAGAAGAGCAAGATGCAGCGGCTGAAGACGGGCGCGAAGCGGCGGTCCAAGTTTACCAAGTGCAGCGTGATCTGACAGGACTGACGTGATGCATCCGTCCATCGTGACTTACGCACCCTTCGCTCGAGTCTCGTCGTCGCGCCGCGCCACTCTCCGCGTCGCGCGATGCTGCGTCACGCGTCGCGTCGCGCCTTGAGCGCGGCGCGATGGAGCGCGCGCGCGCTGACGACCGTCCGCGACATCCCGCTCCCGTCCACGGTGCGTCCGCGTGCCGCCGCGCGCGTCTCCGAAACCACCCGGGATCGTCTCTTCCCTCGGCCGCGCCGACGCGCTCACGCCTCCCGTTCCCCCGCCAACCCCATCCCCCCCCTCCCGACCTCCTCGCAGCCGACGCGCGACTTCCCCGGGGGCGAACCCTCCAAACCCGAGATGCGCACGACGTGCCCGGGACCGAACACGCTCGCCGCGCGCGCGGAGCTCGACGCGTTCCAGGAGACGGGCGCGCTGCGATTCGTCGTCGACGTCGAGAACAGCCGCGGGTGCTACGTGCGAGACGTCGACGGGAACGTCATGCTCGACATGTTCTCGCACATCGCGTCGCTGCCGATCGGATACAACCACCCGACGATGCTCGAGGTGTTCACGAACCCGAGAAACGTCGCCACGCTCGCGCATCGCCCCGCGCTCTTCAACCTGCCCCCGGCGGGGTACGCGAAGACGGTTCGCGAGACGCTCATGTCGGGCGCGTTCTCCTCACACTGATCCCCATACGACCGCGTCGGCGTAGTGCACGCCGCTCCTCGAGGACTTTTCCTTTTCCCGGCGCATCTCTCCGCTCATCACCCCTCGCTCACAATCCCGACACACCTCGACGCCTTTCAACTCCGCTTCTGACGCCTTTGAACTCTGCCCCGATATCGTCGCTTCGCGCGGACCCTCCCTCGACCCTCAGTGGCGCCGAGAGGGCTGACGCACGTCACGACGCAGATGTGCGGGTCGTGCGCGAACGAGAACGCGATGAAGCAGGTGTACATCGCGGTCGCGAACCGACGGCGACGCGAACGCGGCGGATACGGCGCGGGGGACGTCTCCGAGGAGGAGCTCAGCTCGTGCATGGTGAACCGCGCGCCGGGGAGTAAGCCGTACAAGTTTCTGTCGTTTCACGGCGCGTTCCACGGGCGAACCGCCGCGTGCTTGTCGCTGACGCACAGCAAGCCGACGCACAAGCTGGACATTCCCGCGTTCGAGTGGCCGATCGCGCCGTTCCCTAGGCTGCGATATCCCCTGGACGATCCCGCGTGCGCGGCGCACAACGCGGCGGAGGAGGCGCGGTGCGTGAAGGAGACGTGCGAACTCTTGGACGCGGATCCGGACGTCGTCGGCGTGATCGTGGAGCCCGTGCAGAGCGAGGGCGGGGACAATCACGCGAGCGGGGCGTTCTTTCGGTCGCTGCGCGCGGAGTGCGCGTCGCGCGGGGTGAAGTTCATCGTCGACGAGGTGCAGACCGGGTGCGGCGCGAGCGGCACGTTTTGGGCGCACGAGCAGTGGGGCTTGGACGACCCGCCGGACGCGGTGACCTTCTCGAAGAAGATGCAGATCGCGGGGTACTACACCAAGGCGGACTTGGTGCCGGACGCGCCGTACCGCGTGTTTAACACGTGGATGGGGGACCCGGGGAAGGTTTTGATGCTCGAGGCGGTGCTGAAGTGCGTGAAGAATGACGGCTTGGTTGAAAACGCGCGCGTCACGGGGGAGTACTTGCGGGAGGGTTTACACGCGTTGTCTCGCGCGCACGCCGGGAAGCTGCACAACGTCCGCGGCGTCGGGACGATCACCGCGGTGGACTTGGATTCGAGCGCGGCGCGCGACGACGCCGTGGACGCGCTGAGGGAGGAGGGCGTGGACATCGCGACGTGCGGGGATCGAACGATTCGGTGTCGCCCGGGTCTGTACTTTACCCCGAAGCACGCGAGGGTGTTTCTCGACGCGTTCGACCGCGTCCTCGCGCGATCGAGCGGGTGATTCTTTTGATTCATGATACAGTACGTGTTTATAGTCAGGCGCGCTTGTATTACTTCATTATCACTTCCCTAATAACTTCCTAATAACTTACTTCATCGTCATCAGCGCGGGCGTCGTCTTTTCCCGTGGGTTTATTCGTTATTCATCTCTGCGACGTCGTGCGTGCAGACAGCGTAATCCGGTCGCTCCACGTATTAATTTCTGGAACCTTCGGTTGATTTCTTATTATACCTTGAGCCTTGAGTGTTTCTTTATTGTCGGTCGACGACGTCCGTCGTTCGCGAGGTTCGCGCCGAGGCTTACACGTTGTTCGCCTTGAGCGGGTTCACGACCTTGCCCGAGGACGAGCCCTCCTTGTACGCGGACTCGCCGTGGACGGAGACGTCGAGGCCGGCGAAGATCATGTCCTTGTCCGGCAAGAGCGGCATGACCGCGCCGATGCCCTTGATGAGCCCGAAGCCGACGACGAAGGAGTAGACCGCGCACCCGGACGCGGCGATGAGCTGCTTCCCGAAGAGTTTCGCGCTGTAGTGGGGAGCACCCACCGAGGAGCGGGCGAGGCAGCCGACGAGGATCGTGCCGAGGTAGCCGCCCATGCCGTGCACGGCGAAGACGTCGAGGGCGTCGACGAGGTCGAGCTTCTTCTTGATGACCTCCATGATCGTGTAGCAGAACGGCGCGCAGACGACGCCGATGATGACCGCGCCCCACGGGCGAATGAAACCCGCGGCGGGGGTGACGGTGGCGAGGCCGGCGATGGTACCGACGCACGCGCCGACGAGAGAGGGCTTGCCCTTGTGCTTCCACTCGACGCACATCCACGTGAAGAGCGCGACGGACGCGGCGATCTCGGTGTTCATCGCCGCGGTCGCGGCGGTGGCGTTGGCGCCGAGCGCGGAGCCGGCGTTAAAGCCGAACCAGCCGAACCAGAGCATGCCCGTGCCGAGCGCGACAAACGGAATGTTGTGCGGGTCGGTGTCGACGTCGCCTTCGATCTTTTTGCGGTGCGGGAGCGCGACGACGGTCGCGAGCGCGGAGAAACCCGCGGTGCAGTGCACGACGATCCCGCCGGCGAAGTCAAAGACGCCCTCCTTGCCGATCCAGCCGTCGGGGCCCCAGATCCAGTTCGCCCACGGGAAGTACACGAGGTGGACCCAGAGGAAGATGAAGAGGAGGTAGGGGCGGAAGAGGAGACGGTCCGCGAACGCGCCCGTCATGAGCGCGGGCGCGATGACCGCGAACATGCCTTGGAAGCCCGCGAAGACGAGGCCGGGGATGGTCATGTCCCAGTACGCGTCCGACGCGGTTTGTCCGTCGACGTACGAGCGGAGCGGCGTACCCAACACGTTTTTCATCATCGCGAACGATCCGGGGTCGCCCATGAGGCCGCCGGAGTTGCCAAAGACGAGGGAGAAGCCCCAGAGGACCCAAATCATCGTGACCATGCCCATGCACACGAAGTTTTGCATCATGATGGTGAGGACGTTCTGCTGACGCACGAGGCCGCCGTAGAAGAACGCGAGCCCGGGGGTCATGAACATGACGAGCGCCATGGAGACGATCATGAACGCGGTGTCGCCGGTGTCGACGGTGGTGGAGGTGACGGACACCATGTTATTAAGAGGGGAGGGGGAGAGAAGAGACGGGGATACTTCTCGCGCGACGAGAGAGCGTCGCGGGGGCCGAGCACACTTGCGCGCGCGTCGGGGAGTGGCGCGGCGGCGGCGCGATTCCGGCTGATAAAGTAACTGTAACGACTTTCAACGGGTCGGGAGAGTTGTTCCCCTTTTTTTGGTCGCGCGTCACTGGCAAACAGTCAGGTTCCGTCGAGACGGGGGACGGAATTTCCCGCCACGTGTACGGTAACTTTGAGAAAAAGCGATCGGCGGGATATTTTGGACGATGCCAGTGTAAAAGCCCTTACGAAATTTTCAGAGCGACATTTTCAAACTGGATTTTTTTAGAGTCGGGTTCGCGAGAATTTCAGTCATCGGCGGGAAATCGAGTTTGACCCAGCCCTGGGGGAGAAGAGCGCCGGAAGAGAAAGACAAGCGGCGGGCTCGGCTGGCTCGCTTTCAGCAAGTCTCGCGAGTCTCGCTTTCAGTCGTCTCGCGTCTCGCGCGTCGCCCGCGCGTCCACCCCCCTCCCCCCCCGCGCGCGCGCTCACTCGTCGTCGTCCTCGAACCGCCCGGGATCGTTCGCGATCGCGGCGTCCACGGCGTCGCCGGCGTCGCCGTCCGTCACGAGCAACGCGTCGAGCCGCGCCAACGCCGCCGCTCGCTCCGCCGCGCCCGCGCCGTTGGCGACGGCGGCCTCGTCGTAGTAGAACCCGCCGCCGCCGCCGCCGCCGCCGCCGTCGTCGTCGTCGTCGTCGTCGTCGTCCGGGTTCATCGCCGCGCACTCGCTCATCGTGTTGAAGACGTCGTCCAGCGCGCTGGGGTCGGTCGGGACGAGCCTGAGCTCGGTCATCTCGTCGAAGTCGTCGACGCCGACGCCGCCGCCGCCGCCGCCGTCCTCCTCCTCCTCCTCCTCCTCCTTCTCCTTCTCCTCCCCGCCGGTCTTCACCCCGTCCGGCGGCGCCCCCTCCACTTGCGCGTATATGCACGGGCGATCGAACCCGCCGTCGCCGCCGCCGCGGGACACCGCGTGCATCGTGACCGACGTGAACGGCGCCGCGAATCCAGCCGCGCCGGCGGCGTCGGGGAAAAACACGACGCGTCGCGTCGTGAGGTACAGCGTCCCGACCGTCCCGACGACGTCGTCGCCGACGTGGAACGTGATCGGGAGTGACGTCGCGATCGTCTCGTCGTCTGCGGGGAGGGGGGGATGTGAGCGAGGGGAGGCGAGCGGCGACGGAGAGCGCGATCGACGACGCCGATCGACCGATCGGTCGGATCGATCGGTCGATTAAAGTCGACGGGCGAGGATCTGCGCCGCGCGAGGGGAGGGACGCACCCGCGACGTCGCACACCGGCGCTCCGTTCGCGTCGCGCTCGTCATCACAGCGCGTGAGCCCACGCGCGGTCATCGTTCTCGACGCGGCTGGCCGACTCGGTCGCGCGCGGTCGCGTCGCGAGGAGTGCCGTCGCCGTCGCTCGCGTCTCGGTCTTCGCCGACTCTCGTCGTCGCCGACGCGACGCGACGACGGGAGTTTCCCGTTGCGACACCCAAATCGGGGAAGCGAGGGTCGTCCGCGCGCGCCACACCGCGCGGCGCGTCGTAGGCGGTCTTAGCGACCCGTCCCCGCGCCGGCGCGTCCACCGCGACATCGACGCCATGGGCGCGGAGGAGGAGGCCGCGTCCGCGCCGGCGTCGGAGAGCGGCGACCGCGCGTCCGCGGACGGCGACCGCCCGGGGACGTCCACCGGCGAAGAAGTCGGGACGACGGACGGCGAGGCGTCCGCGCGGTCGCCGCGCGGGGGCATGTTCCGCGGGCTCCTCGAGGACTCGTTCCCGGAGCTGTACGTGCCGCCGAGAGAGCCGACGCCGGTCCCGGGCGAGGGCGAGGACGGGGAAGAGGGCGAGCCGGGGGACGACGGCGACGCCGCTCCGCGCGAGGAGGCGGAGGCGGACGCCCCCGCGGAAGACGCCGAGGGCGAGGGCGAGGGCGAGGACGCGGAGCCCGAGCCCGAGCCCGAGCCGGACGAGTACCAGCTGCGGATAGCGGAGATCGAGAACCAGGCGCGTCCCCGCGCCGACGTCGACCTCGCTTCCGCCCGGGCCCGTCGTCGCGTCGTCTCGTCTCGTCCTCGGAAAAGTCAAACGATCGAACGATCGCCCGCCCGCCTTCCTCTCGACATCCATCGTCGTCTCTGACCGACCTTCGTTCCACCACCGAAACGAACCAAAACGAAACAGGCGACGTCGAAGATCGAAAACCTGGACGAGCTCGAGCGCTATCTCGACGACGCGCGCGCGGACGCGGACGCGGCGGAGGAAGCCGCGCTCCACGAGGCGGATGCGCTGTACACGAGAGACCACCGCCGCGCCAACCTCCCGAGGGCGCCGTTGACGATGAAGACGGATCCGACGATCGTCGCCGGCGC